TAGTTTGCTGGAATCCAGTGTGAGGGCGCGCCTCCCACTGTGGTGCTCTGTGGTGCATAGCATATACTTGGCACAAGCCTGTCTTTAGTCCCTTTTTGGAGTCTTCTCATTGCAGGCCACCCCTCTGAATGACAAAGGGCAAAGTTCCTCCAAGTGCATCGTCCCTGAGGGTCGCGACTTGGAATATGAGAAACGTGCGACAGCACTTGACCGCTCGATCTCTGGCAACACGGTCCATGTGTAGTGAAAGATGGGGCCCTGGCAGCACTTCTACACCTTCATGACCTGCTTCAATGTCTTGCTCATGTACCTGGTACGCCACCCAGTCTGGATGCGCGCTGATGCTATGCATGAAAGCGCCGTTGTCTTGCTGCTGTTCGCCATCGCTTCGATGACTGCTTAGCTCGGCACCGAAGTCAAGGTAATCCAGTGGCTGCCAGACTGGACCTTCCCGCAGTATCTAGCCGCCATGGCCCCAGTGGGGGCTCGGCATGTGCTTTGAGGCCTGTGCTGCTTTTCGATCCCCCAAAGCCCCAAAGCCCCAAAGCCCCAAAGCCCCAAGTCCTGCGGACCAAGCTGGCAGCTTCAAGGTACTCGGAAAAGCCGTTGGTTGGACGTTCGGCCACGTGCTGAAGTGGGCTCTTTGGCCAGAAATTCCGTGCTTCTTGCATGGGTCACAGCACGAAAAGCCCTCAGATACGCCTATCCGAGGCTACATCTTTGGCTTCCACGGCGTGCTTGTGCAACAGGGAAGTTCCTGGAAAAATCTTCCGTGCTAGCTCCATGATTCTCCATCTCTGTGCGGCCAGGCGATGATCATTGCCTTTGGCATTGTGGTGCCCCCCCCGCCCTCCCCCTCCCCCGTCTTCGTTGCATATGGAGATTAGAGGAGGAGATGCATGTTGCCGAGTGCTTGTGGCGTGCAATGCAATCACAATCGGAATCATGATGATGATGAGGTTGGCGACGACGACGATGATGATGACGATAACGACGATGATGGCGATGATGATGTATAACTATGACGAGAACCATTTTCATTGTATGACCATGTACCTTGTACCAGTACCATGACCTGTCGTATCGCCATTGCTGTTTCTATTGCTATTACTGTCCAGGTTGGTATGCTTGTGGTTCTGACGATGACTATGACTATCATGCTGTGGCTACGGCTATCTCTAACTTACTGTTGCGAGTACGAGTGCTGCTACGATTGCAGTGTATACACTGCTATGGCTATTGCTAATGACGGTTATTGACGGCACATAGTGCCGATGACTACCATTACATGACAACAGTACCGGATCTCTTGTTGCTTCTCATGCTGCTGCTATTGTTAATAACGATTGTTGTTGCCGTGGTTGCTGCGCAGCTTCTTTCAGCGGTCTGCCCCCCAATTGTAGCATCGGAGAGGCCTCTACGCTCTCTTCGCTTCGTGTTCTCGTACCGTCTCAGAACTCGCCATGACATCCTGGATCTTCTCCTTCGCTTGCCTCGCGGTTGCCACAGCCAGAGAGGCGAAGACACTGGCAAAATGGCGCACAGTTTCACTCCACATGATAGTGGGTGGCCCCGCATGATGCGCAGAATTTTGAAAGGCGCCGGTGATCGGTGACAGCTGGACATCACCGGAGGAATTGACAGGCTTCAGTGAGCACTACATGGGAAGGCCTGCGGAGTAGCCCAGGTCCTTGCTTGGCATAGAAGATGTTGGGTTTCACAACAGCTTACCTCACGCACATTGTATGAAATATCACTTATCACTATCAGCTGGCCGTCCTCCCCGCAGCTTGCAGATGAACTCCTTGCATTCACTTGTCTTTCTTTGGATGCGCCAGACAAGACTGCATGAAATGTTCGGGTGGCTTGTGTTACTATTGTTATTACTACTTTTACTATTATTTACTATTACTATTGTTATCATCATCATCATCATTATTATTATTGTTATTTGTTTATGAGGTTCCATTTTCTTGCAGTGCTTCTGTTTGCATCGGGCCGCGCTCACTGGTACTTGCAGGCAACTGGCTCAGCTGAACAGCATCCTCTTCCAGGGCACTGCGGGGACAGCTGATGGAGGCTGTTGTTGAGGGATGCTGAGGGTTAAGCCTTGGAGAGAGCTCGTGATATCTGTAATACAAGAATTATGATGCACGTGATTGGCTTTCGGGAATGTTTCTGAGACCCAGAAGCAGCTATCACCCACTGAGGTGGTGCCGAGCAGTGGATTGTGGCTTTCTGCCCCTCCTGGTGGGAGCCTTGCCATCATCTCGAGCTCCTCATCTCCGAGCACCTCAGATCAACCGAGGGTTTAGGGTTTAGGGTTTGGGGTTTAGGGTTTAGGGTTTAGGGTTTAGGGTTTAGGGTTTAGGGGGAGTGGCAAGTTTCATTGTGGCGATCAGACCTTGCGCAATGGCCGTGGTGTAAGGCAAGCTGCGGAATGGCAGAAAAAGCTCAACACCGGGCATTTCACAGCTGCTGTGACCTGGCCCTCATGGCCCCCCCGCACCTGACACCTCCCATCCCCTACGACGTGTGGCGTTCGATTCAGCGTGTTTTTGTGCGAGGTCCGTTTTGCAATCGTTGATTGCGCGACGGAGAAGGCCCATCTGTTCAAGGTTTTTCTGCCCCAGAATTATCGTCACAGCGCATGTGGGCCCTCACTGGCCGGGGCCAAGCATCAGACTGTGCAGGTACTTTGCAACACGGAGCAGGTGAAGATGTATCCAACTATCGCCCAGTACAAGGACGATGTCTGCTCTCAGGGTGCGGGACGTATTGGGGTCGAGTTTTTAGGGTCAAGCTGAGGGTTTAAGGGCAGTGTTGACGATTCGAACCGGTTTCAAAAGCTCTTTCTTCATCCGGCCCTGCTTCAAGCCGTGCCAGCCCTGAAAACATCGGGGCACGAGAGCTCCGCCTGTTTTAGCAGTCCTTTGTGGTGGGTTCAGAAACCTGATCCATGGTTCTGGAAGGAAATCATGGTTGTTGGGTACACGCCCCGTTAAGAGGTCGGGCAGCTGAACCACAGGCTCTGCAGCTAAATGCCTTGCATGGAGAGTGGAGAGGAGGGTAGCCCTAAGCCGAACAAGTGAGGAGTGGGCTGTCCTGAACTGGAAAAGGAACACCAGGAAAAGGGGCAAGCTAAGCTCCAAAAGCGATCGCTACGAATGCGGGCGTGCTCGGCCGAGTAAGGCAGCAGGCCCCAGGCAGTTGGAAATCCCTCAACCCTAAGCCCAACCCTAAACCATAAGCCCTAAGCCCTAAACCCTAAACCCTAAACCCAAACGTCTGCCAGGATGGGCGGCAGATCCGCCAAGTCAGCTTGAATCCGAAGCGAATGAAGCAGAGGCTCCTACCCTGGCTACAGGACCGGATTTTGCACCGGGCTTAAACCTGAACCCTCAACCCAAGCCCTATGCCCGTCGCCTTGAACCCAAGACCCAAAGCCCTAAACCCGAAACCCGACCCGGAAGCCTCAACCCCAAAAGTCCTAAAACCTTAAAACCCTAAAACCTTAAAACCCTAAAACCTTAAAACCCTGAAACCTTAAAACCCTAAATCCGTAAAACCCTAAAAACCTTAAAACCCTACAAACCTTAAAACCCTAAAACCTAAAACAAACCTAAAACCCTAAAATTTAAGAAATCCCTAAAACCTGAAAACTTTAAGGCTCCTGTCTTCCAGGAGGGCCTCAGTCCGCCAGAGGCGGAGCCGACGCCATCAGCGCAAGAGAGCCACGGAGGCGCCGGCCGCATCCTTCCTCGGACAGGGTTTAGGGTTTAGCGTGTAGGGTTTAGGGTTAGGGTTGAGGGTTGAGGGTTGAGGGTTGAGGGTTGAGGGTTGAGGGTTGAGGGTTGAGGGTTTAGGGTTTAGGGTTTGGGGTTTAGGGTTTAGGATTTGGGGGTTTAGGGCTTTGAGGGCTTTCGAGGGGAGGGGTTTACGAGGCTTCGAGGTTGAGCCTAGTCATTGAGCTACCTCAAGGACGAGGTAGTCTAAGGAAGTCCAACAAGGGACCTTACCGTGGAGGACGGACCGGGTAGCATTCAGGCTGCAGAGATTTAGGTTGCAGCCGTCTGACACACAAGGGCGTATGGAGACTTGTTCTCCGGGGCTTCTGCAGCTTCTGCGAGGCCTGGACGTTGTCCTGTCTCTGGCTGCGCTCGGCTGCAGCCTTGTTTTGCTGAGGTTGGGAGCCTCTTGGCGGTGAAGGTACATGCAGTGAGGAAAGCTGCCTTGAAGCAGACTCTGCCATATGTGTGCAGAACAGTGGAACTGTGGGGCTCGTTTTGCACAGACATACGCAGACTCAAGAGTCCAAAGCTGCAAACCTCGTTTTTTTTTTCCGGGTTGAAGACACATGGGGCCTTCAAGTGACTCTAAAGGACAGAAGCGTAGGGAACGCCCTTCCATGAAAGGGTCAAGCATGACAACTTGGAAGGAAGACAAAGCAAAATGGACAGTTTCAGGTTGTCCAGCTCATTGCATGACTGAGGACAAGAAGGTACCGACGCCCACGCTGAAAGAGCCCAACCACCGAGGCTGCATCGAGCTCTGACCCAACATGAGAAGACTGCTACTGGCAAGCAGCTGATGAAAGCTGCCGGCTAAAGGAAAAAAAGGAAGTGCCCCCTTGCCAGCGCTTTGCTGAGATGAGCCACTGTTACGAGCACTAAAGAGGCGCTTCTCTAGGCTTTTGCCCTGCCGCAGGTTGCTTTCAAGGAGAGAATCGCTCTCATACTGGGTCTTGATCACAAGCAGATCTTCAACTGCAAGGTGGAGCGGTGCTGCGAGTTGTGGGGTTGTTGGTCTTGAAAGGTCGGTTGTGGCTGCGCTGGAATTGGAAGGTTCAGGGGTCTAGGGCTTGTAGGTTAGGTTGTGGGGTTGGGTGGAGGGGTTTACCCGTGAGCCCTCTTGCAACTGAAGAGACAGAGCAATCAAGAACCAGAGCAAGAGCCCCACGAGGGTCCCAAACGCAGATCGGGTCTCCTGCGAGCAAGGGCATGAGAGGCTATTGCAAAGAGGGGTCAGCTGCAAACTTCATCCCCTCTCGCTGTCATCTCGTACCCCCTGACCTCCACCTGAATCGGCGTCGTCCCAAGGCGAAGGACTGCTTGAACTGCTGGAGCACAGCTCGCTTTAGGCCTATCGAGGCCTTCTTGATGTTCTGCGGTAGGCAAGAATTAAAAGGCTGCAGAGATTTACATGTTACGCAGGCTGACCCTCTGTGCCCCTGCCAGTTGCTGATCTGGAAAGTGGAAGACTTGACGTCTTCCGACCTTTTCCACGCCAACCATGTAGCCGCCTCAGAGCTCGAAACGGAAATCCTAAAGGTGCAGCATCACTTGTTGAGTGCCAGGTCTTCATCGAGGCCTTCATGGGCTACAACGAAACGATGCGCACACGGGTAGGGCGCTGTGTCATACTCCAGCTCTGCTCGGTGAGTCTGCTTCGTACCCAGGTGCACAACAATGCCGGGAGCGACTGCATTCTGAAGGAGTCCATGCAGCTCAACTTTGATGAGGACGGAATACCAGCGTATTCCTGTGGCGAACAGAGGGGTGCGCAGCATGCAGCGCGGCCGCCGGCTTTCAGTTCTGCTCAAAATGTCGCTTTCATCATGAGGAGCTGCCAGGTTTACAATGACCCAGGTGTTGTCGCCAGTGCATCCGAGTGCAGCGATCTAGAATCAAGAGTAGCCCCTCAGAGTTACACGCCATGCCAAAAGCCTCCGTGGTTGCGGCGAAGCCTGCGCTCGAGGCTGGTTGTGCCTTTGCATCTCGGGTACAGAAACTTCTTGGGTTTTTTGGGGCTTCTGCCGGGGGCATGTCGGCTCGATTCCAGAGGAGAAGCCTTCGCTGGTCTTCTTGCAGTCAGATGGCGCTGCCTCGGTGATAGGTGCTGGCAATGCAGTCATGCTGTCTGTGCTTTCTTTCAATACCACCGAACTCACCGAGCAGTCTCAGAGCGTGCCATTCGCAATTTCGGAGCTGTGTCCGGGGCGCTGTTCTGTTACAGCGTCGCCTGCAAACTTGTCACTTTCCGCTTCAGCTTATCCAATGCCTTCAGCTCAATACTGGGAGGTGGCTTGCTTTATGACACCAGTGTTCGAGAACTTTCGGCGAAGGCGCAGGACCAATCTGTTCGCTGAGAAGAAGAGAGTGTGACGGGTGTTATGGCAGCATCTCTGCCTTTCTCTCCATCTTCGCAGTGTAGGCTCTGGTACAAAAGACTCTAAAAAAGCAGTTTGTGGAACACTCTGGTCGGGTTGTGCTGTAGGAGGACGCCAAAGTGCTTGCGCGACGCCAGCAGCTGGCCAACGCCTTGAAGCTGCCACTGAAGCAGGACCACTTTGAGCCATTAACCGCAAGCCGTCCAAGACCTTTTCCCCCTAGCTATCCCTAGTACTGATGCCCCAATTGAAGACTCAAGTTCAAAGCAACAGTTCGTCGCGATTTCATGGATTCACTGTTCTCCTTGTAGAGCACCCTGGGCACAGGTCAAGCTCGTTGGCCTGTCTCTGAAGCCAAGCAGCTGAAGCTCGCAGCATTGTACAGATTAAGGTTTAAAGATCTTGCAAAGCACGGAGATGTGCGATCGCACATGCGAGCATGTGCGCATGTGCAGAAGAAATAGCTGGTCAGCGTAGACCGAAGCAGCTGATCCTGCAGTGCGCTCGAATCGCCCACAGCAAGAAATCAAGAAGAGCCACGGCATGACGTGCTTGTGTGCTAGTTTACGGATTTCCTCTGTACCACATAGCTGTCGCAGCTGCCCCCCCCATCTCACGATGTTGCTGATCAGCCCTGTGCAGGACGACGACGAAGAGAAACTTTTCCTCTTCGTTCAGAATCAGAAGGCACGCGCAGAGGATGCAGCCTTGTGATACTTCATCTCCAAATCCCTGTATCCCTGTGAAGTCCTTGCTGCAGGTCATGGGTGCCCAAGAGCTAGCAGTGATCTCAAAAAGTCCGTGCTGTAGCGGCCAAACTCCCCCAAGGGCGAATGGTATTGATGTCGGCTACTTTTTTTCGCCTTCGCCTAGGCGCGGGTGGAGATTTCCTCTCAAGCCGTCAAGGACCTGTTGAAGGCCGGGAAGCCTCGAACGTCATCTGAAAAATTCTCCATGGGTCGAAGCATGTCCAAGACGGATCCATGGCTGATGACAGTGGCAGCTGGGCTCAAGCCCCACAATCTCCGGCAATCATGGTGCCTTCAACTCGGGACGCAGATGTAACTGCCCTGGTGCCGCGCTCAGAGGGAAGCTCCGGGGAAGCTCCAGGGATTGCCGATGAGTCCTATGTGGTCCGTGTCCGTTTTGCAGAGTCTCGGTGCTCCCTTCAGGTGCAGCAGCTGAGCAGTTCTAAGCCACGAGACCGGTGGAAGGCCGCGGATGAGCTGGCGAAGCTCGGAAAGGAGGCCGGTGCGGCCTCCGCCGACTTGCTGCGTTGCCTCGATGATGACGACCCCGACGTGCGCTGCGCCGCAGCGCGGGCTGTCGGGCACGTGTGCGATGACACGGCCGTGGAGGTTCTGAGCCAGCTTCTGGAGGACCCGGAGAACGGAAGGAAGGAGTGTTCAGGCTGTTCTGACGCATCAGTTGAGGCATCTTCTAAGACATCTTAAAGCAGTATCTCAGACGGAAGCACCTCACAATCCCTCTCAACAAGTCTCCCTGCCTCTCAGCTCTCCTTGAGGACGATGACGGCGGGGTTCGCTGGGGTGCGGCCGAGGCTCTGGGCAACATCGGCGCGGCCTCGGCATCTGCCCTGGAGGCCCTTCTCTTGGTCTTGGAAGACGAAGAAGAGGACGCCCGCGGGGCAGCTGCGCAGACATTGGGAAAGCTGGCCAAAAGCAAGGCCATATCCGACATGACCGAGGTGGTGCATCGCCTAAGTATGGCCTTGGCGGACGATGAGTGGAACGTCCGCCGAGCAGTTGCAGAGGCTCTTGGAAGGTGTGGGGCCAAGGCGACCGGTGGGGTGCAGCTCCTCCTCCGGCGCGTTGCGAGATCCGATCCGGACCCACGTGTAAAGAGGGCTGCCGAGGCGGCCTTGAAGCTGATCGAGTCCAACGCCGAAATGGCGGAGCCTGCGGAGGCCTAAAATCAAAGCCACTGCTCTGGACTGCTGTCCCGGCACTTTCGGTCAAGGGTCAAGCTGCGACTTGCTGCATGTCTTATCATGTCTTCCAGAGATGCACGGAGTGAAGTGCAGTAAAATGCATCGCCAGGACAGCGAAAAGGTCAGGGGTCCTCAGCAAGTTCTTCAGTGGGATGCCAACTGCTTTCCCAAGAGCTTCCCGCAAGCCACTCAGTTCGGGCAGCTGTGGTCGGCCAAAGCACGGTCTGAATGGTACTTGTGGCGACAGGCTCATTCCGCGAGGGCAGATCTGGATAACCGCGGTAGCAAGCTTAGCACCTCTGGTCCTCCTTCAGCGTGGAGTTTTTCCGGGCATGCATGTCGAAGACTGGTGCATGCTTCCAGTCATAGCTGTCCCACTGCTTCGAGTAAGGGTTCGTCTGCAAAGGTGCCAGTGGAAGATGAGTACCATGGGTACGCCGTTCGAGGCTGAGACAGTTCATACGTGCAACTGCACCCAACCTGTGCTCAGCAGGTGGCGTAGTTGCACCGAAGCAAAAGGTGACCACAAGATGAACAAGATGCTAGGGGCATGCACTAAGGAGCTGACTGGCTGCTAGCGCTGGCGTGAGGCAGCATCTGTAAACTCAGTTCTGTACCATAGCGAGGAAGCCGAAGCCCTCAATTTCGAAGGTTGAGAGCTGCGGAGTAGGACAATGATCCCTAAACCCTATATAACCCCAAACCCCAAAACCCTGAATCCCCGATCCCCATCAAAAAAGGCACTCAGACCGCGGCTCGCTGAAGGTCTCACCGCTGCACGGGCTTCCGCCCGGGGCCGAATTCAGCTGGGAATCACCAGCTCTTTAATGGATCTCACCCTGCGATGGCACGGGAAACAGAGCTACAGCTACTGCTTGTATCCGTCTGCGGCCCGGATCTTCAACAATCTGCGCTGTGGAGCGAGTTGGTTTCAAGAGCAAGTGACCTGGCCTACGTCTCCGGAGGAGTGGGTCCGTTTTGTGGTTCACGCACCCTTGGACTTGGACGTACAATATGATGATCGCATGAATGTGACCAGGGCTTGAGGGCTCTGGAGTTGTGAACGCACAACGCTATTGATATCCGTCGGCTGACTCTACCTTGGTGTTGCTGAACCATGCATGATTGCCATGATCCTGGTTGGATCTTCCGGTTTCATTGCATGTGCTCCCAGGGTGTGGCCATATGCACGGTTCCTGACGCCCAGCGCGAGTCTGCCCGTTGTTTTCCACACTGCTACTGAGTGCGGGGTGGATGAATGCTGCTCAGACCATTCTCATCAGCGTCCTCTGAAGGCCCAGTGAGCCCAGCGCATCTTTCGTTCCGCTCATGCTCGGTTGGTCGGTCCTTTGGCATGGCATTCTCCTACGACTCCTACGGCTTTCGACGAAGCTCTTTGCTTCTGTTTGCACAGGCCTTTTGAACGCTAGACAATGAATCTCCCTAAAGCGGTTCACACAAGACTAGCCGCATCGCCATGCGCGTCGTCATCATCCTCATCAGTCGTCGTCGGAGCCGGTTAAAGACAGAACGTGTTTCAAGAAGACACTTGCGGCCATCACCAGTCACAGAGACAGCCACGCAGTCCATGGAAGATCCGCTCAAGCTGCAAGCTTGCAGTTCGGCTTGTTGGTTGTGGGCTTGAACTAACGTGATTCTTGCGTATGTGTTTGTGTGTCGCAAGTTGCAAGGGCCATGATCCGCCTTTGCCAGAGGCTTTCTAAGCATCAGACCTGTCCAAAGCCTTCGAATTGAGCACAGGCTGATGCAGTGTACTTCGTACAGTAGCCGGAGGCGTACAACATGCTTTAGCTGCTTTAGTGTTGCAAAATCATGGCGAAGCTACACGTGCTTGGGTGGACTGCTGGTTTCACAGCAGATCGCAGCTGACATGGCCGCGGCAGCTTGGCCACAGGAGTCGGAATGTGTTCAGGTCATACTTTTTTATGTAATGTAAAGAAGATGTTAAGCACATATGTGTGTGTATAGATATACATGTTATAGCAAAGCAAGAAGTAGCTCATTATTTGATGTAATACGTGCTATTTCATCTTAAATGCCGGACCTTGAGCCGAGGATGCCACGTCCGGATGGCTCCTGAAGCGCTGCGCTGCGCTTGGTGACCGCTGGGTCCGCCACTGGTGCGTGTTCAAGTACAGCCAGGACTACCTTTTTTGCAGATGTTTGCAGTGCATTTCAGGAATGCAAGAAGGGTAGGGCAAGACCTTACTTCTGGTTCAGGAAGAGGATGTTCTGGCTCTGGATTGCTACGCAGATGAGTCTTGCAGGCCGCGGCCAACTTGGCAAAGCTCCGGTCTGCATCGTTGTCCTCTGTCTGTCTGCCGACCTTGAGTGCAGGAGGCGGCTGTACCACATTTGCATGGGCAAGGGTGCGCGTGTGATGCAGATGCAGTCCAAGGAAATCCCAGCTGCCCGAAGCTCATGGCACCGTGCAACTGTGAGATTGTTCTTGATAGCGATGCCCTCTGTGTGCTAAGGCCTTCCTCAAGTTCAGGAAGCAGCATCCACACAGCTTGATCGTCCACGCAGGAGCTTGCCAGTTCATGCACATTATATCCACATAATTCTACATATCTACGTACGCTTGTATTTGTACTTTTGTGCACACACGCATGCATGCATTCACTATATGCTCTCTCGGACGTTGTGAAGCTCCTGCTGGTGATGGTGCAGGGGACGGCCGTTTGTGTCCTTTCTACCTGTTTGACGCGGTGAATGAAGACAGCGACGTGGCAAAGTATGGATATTTTGGGCTAAGGCACGGGGAGCTCTGCTTGTGATGGCTGCTTCTTCTTTTTGGTTCTGACGGTAAGTCGGTGTGTTCCGTGTGAGAGATGAAACGCACAATGCTGGGGTGCTTGTGGGTCGCCGGCCGACGCACAGGAGTGAAGGTTTTGTGCTCGCCCTGAGAACTGAGGCGTTCGAGTGTGGAGAAGCAACGTGACCTCGCAGATGCAGGCCTGAGCCTTCACTCGTGCCATGAAACGAGGGGCGTACCATGATGTTGTGTTTCAACTGTTGTGCACGTTTTCAAAGGAGATTCTGCCTGTGTGCAGGCGCTGGAGTTGAAGAGGAGGCCCTCCACCTTGCGCGGGTTTTGCAGGAATCAGTTTTGGAGGGCCTTTGAAGATGTGCTTCTTTCTGATAAGGCGACACCAGGAAGAACAGCTATCGATGCTTCGCTGCAGATTAGACATAAATAAAACACACATATATATGTATATGTAGTAGTTGCATATACATATACACACGCGGATACCCAAGCTCAGTCCCGAGCATAGGCAAGCAGCACACAAGAGGGCAACATCATCAACCACCACCACAACCACCACCACCAACCACCACAACCACCACCACAACCACCAGCACAACCACCACCACAACTGCTACCACAACCACCACCATAATAACCACCACGACAACCACCACAACAGCCATTATGGCAACCACAACAACCACCACGACAATTATCACCACGACCACCACAACAACCACCACGACAACCACCACGACTACCACCACAATAACCGCCACCACAGCCACCACAACAAGCACCGCCACAACTCCCACAAGAACCACCATCAGAAAAACCACAACAACCACCACGACAACTACCATAATAACCACCACAACAACCACCACGACAACCACAAAAACCGCACGAACCACAACAACACAACACAGAATCAAGTCTCTGAATGAGTCTGTAGGGCATTGGGGCAAACAAAACTATACCAAAACAGCACACAACAAATTTGAACAGCAAAAGCAACACACACACACACAGAGATACACACACACACACAAAATCGAGTTTCGGAAGTGTGAAGGGGTGTGCGCGCTTCAGCCAGCAAGGAAGATGACGGCTCTGTCCAAACCATAGGCAAGTTGAGCACAAAAGCCCAACAACAGCACAAACGCGCAAAGTCAAGTTTCAGAATTCTGGTATCAGAGACAGACAAATTTGCTAAACCATCAGAATACAACACAAAGGTACGAAACAACCGAAAGCAGCAAAAGCCACTCAAGTTCGAGTTTCAGGGCTTGAGGGGGGGGGGTGGGGAATTATGCACGTAAGATCAAGAGCTCAGTCAAGAGTCAGAAGCATAGGCAGGCAGCACACAAAAGACCGACAACAACAATAACAAAAAGCACACACACAATATCTAGTTTCGGAATTGTATAAGCTGCTTAGAAAGCTTTCATTAAGCCAAAAAGAAAGACAAGCAAACCATTTCAAAATATGTAATTTATTATAAGAAGACAATGCATAAATACAAACAAGTACATGCAAAAACCAGAAGAACCGACACACAACATCAAATGTTCATATTGATGCTGTAGGGAGATCTGCCCACGAGTAAAAACTTGTACGTTACTTCCAACCATAAGAAATCAACATACAAAAGCAGCTCAAAGCAAGCAAGAACAGCAGCAGACGCTCAACATCAGGTTGGTACAAGGGTTCATGCGCGCGAAGCCAAAATAAGAGTTCGCAAATCAGTCTAGCAGCAGAAGCAAACTCGGGCTTCGGACAACTAGTGAGTGTATGAACTAGTGAGTGTAGAATGGAATAAGTTAAGATTTTTAATTGTTTTGTAGAACAATTTAGAGATACTGTTCTATTGACAAGACACGGACAAGGCCAATGCATCCTACAAAGCGGCGGGCGGGCTCACAGAAGCCTATGTATTCAACAACAGAGTCAACACCAACAAACATACATGTGCATCTATATATATATATATATATAGATACACATACATACATATATATGTATATATATATATATATATTGTATACATATATATATATATATTGTATACATATATATATATATATATACGTACATACATACACTTATACATGTAACATGTTAGAAGCTTGGGATCCAGGAGCGATCGTTCCAAGATCATCGACTGCATCTTTGCCTTGCTGGACCGCCGAAGGTCGGGTCCCTTCCATGCACTGGCAGCAACATGTTTTAGGGTTCTAGGGGTTTAAGGGCTTTGGGTTTTTTAGGGCTTTAGGGTTTTTTAGGGTTTTTAGGGTTTTAGGGTTTTAGGGCTTTAGGGCTTTAGGGCTTTAGGGGTTTAGGGCTTTAGGGTTTTAGGGTTTCGGGGTTTTAGGGTTTTAGGGTTTTAGCGTTTTAGGGTTTAGGGTATAGGGTTGTGGATCGTGCTGCGGGCCCCCGGATGGTAAGCCGAGGCAGCATTTGGTCCGATGACTTGCGGCGCTACGCTGAGACGTGCCCTGGTAAGTTCAGCACAGGCGGAGGTCTTCGGATCACGAGGCAGAGTCATGGAACCTTGATCCGATGATCCTCGCAGACCTGTTGCAATAGCAGAATCGCTGAACTTGCCCTGGCTTGCCACTTGAAGTTCGATCATGCAAGGTCAGGGTTCTTGGGCACTGATGACGAGTGGCAGCACGAGTTTGAAGAACTTTGTGAAGACCGCGGATGGAAGGAAGGGCCGGCGTCCCGATATTCCTGAGAAACCGATGAATTTAGAGTTTAGGGTTCAGGGCTTAGGCGTTTAGGGTTTACGGTTCAGGGTTTAGGGTTTAGGGTTTAGGACTATCAGCAGCAGCAACATATGCAATCCTTGTGACGTGTGACGGAGGAGGAGAAACAGATCAGTGCCAACCAGTTCGGAAAGCTGCTTGGTGGATAGTAGTGCGATCCATGGTCCCCTTTGCTGCTCCTTTGGTTGCTTTGTGCTGCCGAGGTTCTTGAGCAGTGACACCAGTGTCTCCATTGAAGAGCTATCCAAGATCCTAGAGTGCCTTGAGGGATTGTATGATCCCCCGGCAACTGCTACTCGACCCTTTTCATGTCGTCCGACGTCATTCGGGTGCCACAACATGTACCTTTGCCAAGCAAGGACTCCTGGGCAAAACAGAGTGTGGTGACCAACAACCTGAAGCTGAAGACCAGGCGCTCGCAGATCACAGATGTGCATGCTCATCACCACAGATTAAAGTGGTGTTGGGCTGGTGACGGGGAGGTCTGATATTATCACGGCCCTCTTCAACTGCTTGAAGTCCAGCGAGACAGGTGTGTGGCTTTGGCTGTGGACCATCAGCAAGGCAACTATAGTCTGATGTTGCTTGATGAGGTCGGATCGGATGTGAGGAGCTGCAGCGCAGCACTGCTGAACTGGCAGGGGGCCCATCATTCCGGGCTAGCCTTTGCATCGGCAGGCTATGCCGCACTCTCGGGCTTCGATGGCGATGACGATGACTGGCTGGAAGAGTATGGCGATCTTTGCGAAGATCAGGGATGGGACAAGGCCGCAGAAGCGGCATTTCTGTATGGCCGGGATTGGATCGCGGCAGCATGCGGCATCCCAAAATTGTCAGGACATCGGTCTTGCCCACGAGGATTTCATGGGCATGCTGGAAGACGATGCTCAGAACTGACGGAAGGGTAAGTCCCACCCTAAACCTTAAGGCTCCTAAGCTCGAAACCTCAATACCGTGGGACTGTTCGACTCGGACCCAGGATTCCATGGGGTCGGATGAAGAGCTGAAGGCCATGTTGATGGAGCTGCGCATGCCGCGGAAGCGGGGGGCCAGGACGCAGACATGTTCAGAAGTATCTCACTTACGACTTACACCACGCTGCTCTTCAGGACCCTTGATCAAATGTCCCATTTGGCCAAGAAGAGTGCAGCAGGTCGTGTACGAACAGAGGTTTCGCAGATGTCACGACGCTCGTCTGGTGTCTCTTTTTTCATTCTCGGAGGGAGCTCCTGCCATACCTGCCTTACCTTGCTGCCCGCAAGCATATATCTTCGCCCACCCTAGGCGAGGACCTGGTGAATGAGGCCTTTGTCTCTTTAGACGTGAAGCGGACTGCGGTGCTTGGCTCGCGTGAGTTCAGGCTGGAAGCCCGCCAGAACATAAAGCGACACCCACTGAAGCAGTTCTTTCAATCACGATGTTGTACCTGCACGCTACGCATGGTGTTCTTCTGGTTCACGCTTTCAAAGTACAGTTCATACACATATGCATACGTGTATGTGTTTGTGCGTGTGCTCGTGCACGTGTGTGCACGCAAAAACTATGCGATTACATGCGTCCATGTGCGGCCAACACAAACGACTCGTGCACATGCCCTCAAGATGGCGGTCCCGGAGGCGCTACGCGGAGCTGACCGGCTACGACGGAGGTGATGAAGGGTGGCCTTTGCTTTACTCGGAGCTCTGCCAAGAGTATGGATGGCAGAGTGGAGCTGGAGTCACCCGAGAGCAGTTTGCAGCATCTCGGCCCGACCTCCACCAGTTAGGGATGGATGGGTGGGGGGGGGGGGGGGGTTTGGGCTTCGGGTTGCGGGTTTAGCTAATTGGGAACCCTCTTATTGGGGGTCTATAGCAGGGGGGTACGGGCTGGACGGGGTGGACAGGGGCGATCGGGGGGTTCTGAAGGTTGTCGTGATGCCATATTACATATGATTCCACGCCCTTTTGTATTCGATCTGTTTTGGCATGAGGTCTTCATTGGAGACGAGTCGCATTCACCTGACGACGAGCTGCAGCGCTTGGCTCAGTCCCCGTCCCGATGCGTCCTGTGCAGCAAGAGCTGCCAATGTTGCTGCCGCAGTTTACCACATTCTTTTTCCAACGAGGAACCTTCATACTTAAGGACTTAAGGTACCCGAAAGCCTCCGAAGCTCTCAGCGCCGAGGGAACTGGTCCTGGAGCTCCGACTGCGTCAGGACGTGGCCTTGCGCCGCTTCCGAAGCGCCGTCCAGCGGTGCGGGGGGGGGGGGGGGGGGGGGGGGGGGGGGGGGGGGGGGGGGGGGGGGGGGGGGAGGGCAGACGAGGGGGGCAAAGAGAAAAGAGGGGACAGAAGAGAGCAAGAAGAAGCGTCCGCGAATGTCAGGGTTCTCTGGCAGCTGCGGTTCAATGGCAGCACGCAGCCTGGCCGGCATTGGCAGTTGGCAATCTGCAGGCACCCGGACTTTCTCCTTGTCTAGGTAGGCCCTTTGGGCCCTTGGGACATTTTACATTTTCCCTTATTTGGGTTTAAGAGGACCATATTCAGGAACATGTTTCAGAGGGTTTTAGGGGCCATTCCTAGTTGTCCTTCGTGTACCACTCATAGTCGCCCACCAGAGAGCTGAGACCTCCACATGGCCAGCGGACGCGGCAGGACGTCCTTAAGCGGGAGTCTACTTGCAAAATCTGGGGATTTAGGGTTTACGGAAATAAGGGGGGGGGGCCCGAAAAATAGCCCCCCCAAAGAGTAGGATTCCCGTTTACTCAAGGCCCCAATACGGTGCCTCCTTTTTTTGGGAAGCCACCATATTCACAATCTGCCATGGCCATGACATCTTCAACTTGGCAGGAGATCGAGCAGATGTCAAGAAGGGAGCTCATGGATGTCACTGGCCTGCAGGGGCTTAGGGTTTAGGGTTTAGGGTTTATTTAGAGTTTAGGCATGGGAACAGTCAGGCATGCGAGCGGGCGCCCGGGGGATTGGCGGATCGTGGGGGAGCTTCGGCTGTTCTACTTTCCCGCAGTCGTAGCTGCCGCTCGCTAGGACACGCTGTGTTCTTGAAGCCGAGCGCTGCTGTTCTGGTTTTCCTGCTGTCCAGAGGCAGTTTTCGATGCCCTGGATCGCAAGCGGACTCAGAAGCTGGATTCGAAGGCTATGCGCCAATTTGTGGGTCGGCTGCAAACTTTTGTTGGCGCCCAAATCGTGCCCCCGGCGCGTTCCCTGGCCCCTGGTATGCCTTTCCAGCGCTTGAGCATCTCAGGCACATCTGACCGGCTTCTATGGCACCGATGCTGACTGGGATGCGGAGTTCCGTGGCATGTGTGAGAATCTCCACTGGAGTGAGCTGGAAGGACGGGGCGTCACGGGATCCCAAACCATCCGAAACTGCAAGGGATGTGCCCCCTGCCTCCCCCGCCCCAGCAAAAAGAGGCCCAACAGGTGCTGTAGGACAACCTGTGCAGTTGAAGTTCAAGGGCCACTCCCCAGGAGCAAGCAGATCCCAGTTTCGCGACTTCATTGGCGATGAGGAAAACACCAGCGCTGAAGACGGCACTTTGTAGGGTTCAGGGGTATCGCGTGCTAGGTCCTCCCAAACCTCAAACCTCACTGCCCAGACCCTATAGTGACACTCAAGGTAATGAGGAGCTTCAGGTCCTCCTCTTCAACCTGCCGAAGGATCAAGCCCGACGCAGCCTGGTAGCCTCGCGCTACAAAGGCCTGGCCCGGCGAGAGCTCTTGGAGGAGCTCTTTGCCGCACTCTCGGAAGGCCCCGAGCTTCCCCCATCGCAGCTCAGACGCTTGGCCGAGCTGACCGGGGCTTCGAGCTTGAGAGGCGAGTCTGGAATGACAAGAGCTCAGTTTGTGAGGGTTCTTGAAGACGATGGGCAGACAAGCACAGACATGCTGCGACAAGCACTTTTGACTGTTCGCGGCGAAGCTTTGATCTCTGGAAAGCCGTGGAGCCGTCGCAGCTTCGTGCAAACGTGGAGGAGGTCAGACGTGGCAAACATGGACAGGCCCAGCATGATCGAGGCAATCTTCGCAACGCTTGACCAGTCGAAGAGTGGAGTGTTGGACTCGGACCGCATCAGAGCGTATGCAGAGCAGACCGGGTTTGAAGGGACGGACGGAGACTGGGCGGAGCAGTTTGCCGCAATGTGTCAGCATTTTGGTTGGGTGCAGGACGAGGGCATAACGCAGAGTCAGTTCCGTGAGCTTGTTGAGGACGACGACGAGACGGATGATGACGAACTGCGGCAAGCCCTTCTAAACTTGCAAATGCAACCCGGGACGAGCGGCAGAGCATCTGTAGTGGGATCTTCTTGGCAGCGGAAGAGCCTGCTGCATCTGCCCAGTCAAGACTTTGCGGCGAACATGTCCAGGCCCGACATCATATCCGCAATCTTCTCGCTGCTTGACACAGCTGGGCATGCAAAGCTGCTTTCCGCCCAGCTCAAGCAGTTTGCAATCTCGAGCGGGTTCGAAGGTGATGCAGACGAATGGTCCAGCCAGTTTGATGCGATGTGTGAGCATTTTGGATGGAATGTTTCCGAAGGTATTTCCAAGGCCCAGTTTGTGGAGTTCGTTGGAGATGAGGTCGAGCACAGCGACGACGAGCTGCGCCGAGTGCTGGTCAGTCTGCAAGCGCAGCGCCGGAATTCAATGCGGCACTCTGTTTCTAGTCACTCTTGGAGCCGTCGCAGCTTCGTGCAAACGTGGAGGAGGTCAGACGTGGCAAACATGGACAGGCCCAGCATGATCGAGGCAATCTTCGCAACGCTTGACCAGTCGAAGAGTGGAGTGTTGGACTCGGACCGCATCAGAGCGTATGCAGAGCAGACCGGGTTTGAAGGGACGGACGGAGACTGGGCGGAGCAGTTTGCCGCAATGTGTCAGCATTTTGGTTGGGTGCAGGACGAGGGCATAACGCAGAGTCAGTTCCGTGAGCTTGTAGAGGACGACGACGAGACGGACGATGACGAACTGCGGCAAGCCCTTCTAAACTTGCAAATGCAACCCGGGACGAGCGGCAGAGCATCTGTAGTCGGATCTTCCTGGCAACGTAAACGCAGCTTCGTGCAGACGTGGAGGATGTCAGACGTAGCGAACATGGACAGACCAAGCATGATCGAGGCAATCTTCACAACGCTTGACAAGCGGAGGAGTGGAGTGTTGGACTCGGAGCACATCAGAGCGTATGCAGAGCAGACAGGATTTGAAGGGACGGCCGGGGATTGGGCGGAGCAGTTTGCCGCCATGTGTCAGCATTTTGGCTGGGCGCAGGGCGAGGGCATAACGCAGAGTCAGTTCCGTGAGCTTGTTGAGGACGACGACGAGACGGATGACGACGAACTGCGGCAAGCCCTTCTAAACTTGCAAATGCAACCCGAGACGAGCAGCAGAGCATCTGTAGTGGGATCTTCTTGGCAGCGGAAGAGCTTGCTGCATCTGCCCAGTCAAGACTTTGCGGCGAACATGTCCAGGCCCGACATCATATCCGCAATCTTCTCGCTGCTTGACACAGCTGGGCATGCAAAGCTGTTTTCCGCCCAGCTCAAGCAGTTTGCAATCTCGAGCGGGTTCGAAGGTGATGCAGACGAATGGTCCAGCCAGTTTGATGCGATGTGTGCGCATTTTGGATGGAATGTTTCCGAAGGTATTTCCAAGGCCCAGTTTGTGGAGTTCGTTGGAGATGAGGTCGAGCACAGCGACGACGAGCTGCGCCGAGTGCTGGTCAGTCTTGCACAGCGATAATTGCGGGTACATTGGTACATTCGGTGGCTGGAAAGCCCCAATGCGCAGCAAGCAGCCCGACGTACTCCCAATTGCAGAGACATTTTGCAACTCCATTCCGCTCCAAGCTCAAGCTCCACAGCTCTCCGCAGCTTTCTGCAGCTCTCTGTGGCTTGCAGATGCCACGTGGTGGAAGCGGAGACCTGGCGGGAATGGTACTTCATATCCTAAAAGTCATGTTTATGAAGGTGCCTATTCCAATACGGGTGCCCAACCAGGGACCATAATTCAGAGAACTGCCTTTGCCTTCGTGGAGTGCGCATCGTGCATTGTGCCTTCACTTGCATGCAGCTTTGGTATAGTAGAGAGGTTGCCGTTGCAGTTGCTCTTGCATAGCCGAGGCCCATTTCCCACAACCGGAGAGACTCTCGAACACGTCAAAGCAGTGGCCCTACTCGCTGCACAGCCAAACATGCAAGTCATAGCTGCGGCTGCTGCTTTTCTTTGCTTAGCGCCTGGGCGGACACGACCAGGATGCTTGTTTTGCTGTCAAACCACGGTACAAGCTCCTTTTAGTGCTAGAAGAGTCTGGCCAGAAGAAGGAAAACACAGCGGTTTCAAGAGTCCCGTCCGTGTGCATCAGCAACTCAACTCGAACAACACCATAGTTGATCCTGAATTTGAAATTATTATTTGCGTGCGTGCAACTGAGGGCGGCGTGCTGGAGCTTCCTGGTTCTTGAAGCATTAGAGCTGCAAGCAGTGGCTCCGGACGATGGGACATCACGGGCAGAGCCACCAGCCTCTCCAGCTGCAAAAATCAAAGTCAGAAGTTGCATGACTTCGTCGTGGAGTGTCTTCCCAAGATGCCCAGGCTCCAAAGATGCAGGATGGGACAAGAGAAGCACCAAGGACCTGAAAGGACTCTTGGGGTTATGAATTGTGCCTGAGGGACATATCATATTATATACAGATACATAGAATGTATGTTGCATTTTGTTTAATCATTATGATTAAAAACTTGTATCAATATGTGACAACATATATATATATATCTCTACATGTACACATGCATATTTTCGATAGTTGATGTATATGATATATTGCATTTATGTGATATTTTCTGTGTTAGATATGTATTCGATGCATTATATGATATATAACACATGTATGGTGCCCCCCCACAGTTGCACTTGCCTCTGTATTGGTGAATTCTTCAAGGTTCAGCGTGGCTTTAAAATGAGTTTTCGGTCGACCTCTGCAAAAGCATTGGTTTTGCCAATGTTGTCGCAACCGACCTCTGAAGACACATTGTTTTCACCAATGGATTTTCGATTGCCCTATGCAGAAACACTGGTTTACCAATGTTTTTTCGGTCGACCTCTGCAAGACAAATCGGTTTTCCAATGTTTCCTATGACTTCCATAACTTCTGCGGAATGTCTCAGGGTGGGGCCGGGGTATTCTCCAGAAATCACGGAAATCATAGGAAATTTACCAATGACCGACCTCTGCAAAAGCATGGGCTCTACCAGTGTTTTCACAACCGACCTCTACAAAACCATGGGTTTTGCCGTCCGTTCGCAGCCGCTATATACTGCCGCTGCCCGCCACCGCCCACCACGCGCATCTGCACTTCCCGTTATCTTTTCCTTCCCCATGAGTGCAGACAAGAAAAGAGTAGACATGTGGGGTTATCCGGCCCCATAGGTGTATTGCATATTTTAAAATTCGCTTTGCTGGCATATGTTTTTTTGATATGTTATACGCTCTACGTTTCACGTTATACGCCATATGTAGTACTTTATATATGTTATATGTTATACATCATTTTCATGTTTTACATATAATACATTTCATATCGTACCTGTTTTGAAGTGTATATATATATAGCATATTGTATTATATTCGGATATTTGTATATTTGTATATTGTATATTATGTATTGTGTGGTGTGTACATTATATATTGTACATTTTATATTGTATTGTATACTGCATATTGCATATTGTATACTGTATATTTCATATTGTATATTGTATAATGTATATTGTATATTGTATATTGTATATTGTATATTGTATGTATATATATATATAGAGTATATTGTATATGGTTTGTGTATATCGTATATTGTGTATTGTTTTTTGTCTATTGTCTATTGTCTATTGTTTATTGTTTATTGTTTATTGTTTACTGTATATTGTATATGTCGTTCTATATGTTATATATGTTGTATATTCTACTTCATATTTACATGTTGTGTGTATATATACATACATATTTTCTGACGCTATGTGTCAATTTATTTACGACATTTTAGTGTTGTACTCGTATTATAGTAGAATGTATTGTTTTCTGTGATCTGTGCTCCCCCCAAATCCTCATGATGTGAACCTTTTCAATGATCTTCTGATTTGACGTTCCGCGCGTGCCACCAGCCTCCCAAAGAAGCGGAGGCGACCCAAACGACGCCCCTTTGCAGGAGCCCCATCGACCGCGAGATATGCTTCTTTGGCAACTGTAAAGTCGGTGCCCAAGATACATTGATGAGTCTGAACATGAGCCTTGACTGCGCACGTCAGGAGAGGGAGAGCGGGAGAGTCGGTAAAGGAAGAAGAGAAGGAAAGATGGCACCGGCAGCCACTGTACTCAAAGCTTGGGATAAGCCCTCCCAATCTTGTTTTCACTCATTGCCCTACTTGCACACTGCAAGTTCTCCATCGCGCTGGCCTCAGCTTGAGAAACTTGCTTGCTGGACATGCTGTATGTTATTTGGCAACGGGCCAATCACAGGGCTTGTAACTAGCTCGGGGGTACCAGTTTTGAGGCCACGAGGGTTTGACTCATGGAGCAGTTCTGTGCGACAAGCCCGTTAGCGACAAGCCTTTTCCGCATGGCATGCCAACCATTCCCAGTACGCGACAAGGGGCGTGAAGCAAGAGCCCGCAATAAGGGATATGCGCCAGAGAGGGGGCCACGACAACAAATTTGTCAATCGGTGTCACGGTGAAAATCCAGCCCTGCTGGCAGGAGTGTCGGCAAAGGGAGGGCTTTGCTCCGGTTGCTCATTTGTGGCCAAGGCCCATTTCCAACAGACGGACTCATGAACCTCAAGGTCGCGGCCCAGATAATCCTCTTCGCCTGCGCTGTCGCTGACGTAGACGAAGTGCTGGAGGAGCTTGGAATTGCTCGAGATAGGGTTTAGGGTTTAGGGTTTAGGGTTTCGGGTTTAGGGTTTAGGGTTGAGGGTTTATAGGGTTTAGGGTTTAGGGTTTGGGGTTTGGGTTTAGGGTTTAGGGTGTTGACTCGTAGAGTGGTGCCGGCTATACAAGATTGGGTATCGCCTACAGACCGCCCTGCCTGGAAATGGCATGGGCAGGTTGTATCGGGAGAAGATTCAGCACGGATGCCATTGATAGGATGCTGACCTCCTCGCAGCTGTGGAGGCTGAAGACTGCTTCAGTGAGGCCTGACCTAGGGCTCAGTGTTTAGGGTTTGGCTTGGGGCTAAGCAGCTAAGCGCATAGCGCATTCTGCGAGTGAGCTGGTGGAGGACTGCGACAGCGCGGGACTTGCTCTGGCTCAGCTTCGGGCCACGTATTTGAAGAGCCAGGTAGAGGCCGTCCTCCAGTTGACACCAGCTGCATGTTGGGTGCAGCTCAGGTCTAGATGTTTCTATAAGCTTCTGCAGCCCTTGAGGCCGCACCGAAGTACCAGTACTATGGAGCAGATGACCTGGACTTCGGCGATGCCATCGAGGCCTTTGTTCTTTTTGGCTTCTGTGCAGCACGTGGCAGCACGTGCGATCCTTCTACACGTCATCTTGGGTCATGTTTCCCATCGTTGTGCAGGAAGACTCCGATGCCGGCATTGCTTTCGTGCAAACATCTGCCAAGTTGGTGAGTAGCCGGGAGTCCAGCACCCTAGTGGTGAGTGCAGATGGCAGTGTGGTGTCCGGCAGTGCTGCCGAGCCCACTGTTTCCTCCGGCCGCACATCCTTCACAGTGTCTGCAGATGGTCGCATGCACGTGGAGATGTGAAGCCCGGAAGCTCTGCACGATGGCCAGCATCAGCCTGACCAGCTGCATCGCACGCCTCTTCTGGTGGCATCTGTTTAAAACTGCTGCCCCAGCAGGCATTGGCCAGCACTACCCAAGAGTCCGTTGGATCTTCTTTTGGGAACCTTGACAAGCCTGCACCGCGCGTGCTGCCCGAGGAAAACACCCTGCAACGAAATGTGAAACATGACCTGCACTTGTCTGCTTGTCGCTGCTCTTTGTCAGCAAATGTGTAAGGTCGCGGAATGGAGGATTCCCGAGACCAAAGCCCGCTTGCAGAGAAAAAAACAGCATCTGACACGCTTGCTTCGAACGTTTGTGGCGCTGCAGGTGCCTAGACATGTCGATGCATAACGGTAGATTTGGTACGTGTCTTGGCTCGAGAACCAGTTCTGTCACAGGGCGGTGGACGGCCAGCAGGCACTCCAGCCACGAAACGGGAACCTGAGCGACACTGTCCAAGCAAAGCGCCTCCTTGCCCCAGGCCGCCCAGCCCATGACAGATGCGGAATGGGCGGTCGAAGCCACAGGAATGTCAGCAAAACCAGGGCATGTGGTCGCTGAAGAGATCCGCGCCGAGGCGAACATGCGGCGGGTCCTGGGACCCCACCTGGAGACCATGACTTCCGAGGCTGTGAGTGCCAACTTTCCCCTCCGCCTACTCTCCACCTCCTCTCCTTGTCGCCTTCCCTCGTCTCTTGGGGTCGCCCAGCTGTCAGGTCAAGCAATCCTGGGGTCTTGCGCCCAGAGGGGCTGTTGAGGAGTCCGGAATCATCGATCGACATCGAGGATCATACTGAATCAGACATGATTCTGAGGGTAAATCCCCCTGTCCCAAGTGCTGTCGAACTTCTGAGGCCCCGAAGTGGACCCGGAGGCCATGTTGCTGAGATGGCAGGGCTCTCAGCTTCAACCCTAAACACTTGCGAACCTTCTAAGGCCCCTGTTTAAGGGATCATGGGAGGGGTATGCAAAGTGGGAACAGGGATGGGAGGGACAGCGTGCCGGAGCCCCCGTGGGCATAGCGGCGGCTTGGGCTGCTTTGTGCTCTCGGAGGTGGCGCGTCCACATGATTCGCATTCGTGTCCGCGAGCTTTGTTTGCAGCACATTCGCAGCTGGAGTGTTCGAGGTTGTGCCAGCGTCACAACTTGGCCCGGTGCTTGCTGAACTGGCGGCTTGTCATCTTGCGCTGTCCAAGAGCATTACTCGGGGCTGAGGAGGTTCCACCCGTTTCTGTCCGACGTCGGCAACAGGCCGAAGGGTCAAGGCCCACGTCGCTTTTGGTAGCTTGGTAGCTAGAGCTTCTACCTCGCCAAGATCTGCTCAAGATCAAGGCGTCACTTGAGTGTTGTGATGTGTTGTGTCAGGGAACAAGCAAAACCTGCTCATGCTTCGCATGATGGCGAAGAGCCGCCTGCTCAGCTTCGCTGTGCCATGCTCTTCTGATGCCTTCTGCAACAATCTGCAGCCGAACATGATGATGACGACATCGACGGCGGCGATGACGATGAAGGCATTGATGGCAGGATGCTGTCGACGATAGCGGCGCTAGTAGCGGCGACGGGCTGTTGATGATCATAATGGTGATGTTGCTGATGAGCTGACGTTGATGTTGATGATGTTGATGATGTTGATGATGTTGATGATGTTGATGATGTTGATGATGTTGATGATGTTGATGATGTTGATGATGTTGATGATGATGATGATGATGATGTTTTTCTTCTTATTCTCATATGGTTCTTCCTTCTCGCCGCAGGGCGGCTAAGCCACAGGCACCCCAAAGCGCAAGGCCTGATTTCTTGAGTTCGTGGACGGTTTTTGCAGTGCAGAGCTAGAATCGCAAGCTGATCATGAATCTAGCCAGCCAGCGTTCTTCTCCTACTTCGAAAGGGTTTTGAATCCTCGGCACAGGGCGAAGCCTTCTTCACAGCGGCGCGCCCAGTGTTTCTTCACCACCCAAGCTTTCAATATGTGGAAGTGCCAGCATCCGACCCTTCACGAGCTCCCGCAAATAAGATGCAGCAGCGCAAGCTGTGAAGATGACCCTCCCCATGCGTAAAATGTGTTGCGCCTCTGCGCGAGGCCAAAGCATAGGGAGCCGCAGCCGCCGAATAGCGCCAGGCGGAGCTCGCGCCTTTAGGTTTTAGGGGTTTATAGGGTTGAGGGCCGTTTAGGGTTTCGGGTTTAGGGTTTAGGCTGCAGGGTTTAGGTTTTCGGGGTGCTCAAATGACTCAACTCAGAGGTTTTGGTAGATGGTAGAGGGTCGGCCATAGTGGATCCAGGGGTTTGAGGGGTGGTTGTTTCAGCATCATGGGTTTGCGGGTTTTTAAGGGTTTAGGGTTCAGGGTTCAGGGTTCGGGGTTCTTGCAGTGTCTTTGTGGCGATGGCTCCCAGATTGTGCGTACGAACATGCCACGAAGAAAGCCATTGACACAACACATCGCTTCACAAGAGTGGGCATTTGTAGCCTTGTCCAACAAAACTTGGCTTGGGAAAATTGAGGGAAGGCTACAAAACGCCTGCAGGGCAGCACACCTGCGTGGCGGAAGAAAGTCACGGTTTGAGTTTTCAGCCGCTCCTGAGCAATATGCGGACAGTCACTCTAGCCGCCGTACACGAATCTCAGTGAACGGTACTTATTGCTGGCTTTATGCTGTTTGCAAAGAGGCTGCCTCCCATCACAAGCAGGCATACAGAAGTCCCGGCCCCGGATGGCCGTCTCATCGTCATGAGAGGGCATGCCAAGTTCCCGAGGCGAAGCGGGGGCCAACAGGCGACAAGATGCTCGGCCCGGGGCAAAACCTCCCCATCCTCGAGGAGGAGTCCGAGGCGCCTCCGGGGTGTGGGAGGTCAGGCCGAGACCCCCTATGGGTCCCTAAACCGGTCCAAAACCCTGAGCCCAGGCCGGCTCAGCACTCCAGTCGCCGGAACACCAGGTGGCGCCGGCCATGGCGCTTGACCTCGGGGCCCTGTGCCCAGTTATCCTTGAGACAGAACTTACTTAGCTGCCCAATCGTTGAATTTTCAGTTCTGTTTGCATACTCATGATGATCGTCGTCGTCACAGTCATCAGTATCAGTATTAGTATCAGTACCAGTATCAATATCAGTATCAGCAGCACTACTACTACTACTACTACTACTACTACTACTACTACTACTACTACTACTACTACTACTACTCCTACTCCTACTCCTACTCCTACTCCTACTCCTACTCCTACTGCTACTGCTACTGCTACTACTACTACTACTACTACTACTACTACTACTACTACTACTACTACTACTACTACTACTACTACTACTACTACTACTACTACTACTACTACTACTACTACTACTACTACTACTACTACTACTACTACTACTACTACTACTACTACTACTACTACTACTACTACTACTACTACTACTACTACTACTACTACTACTACTACACTACTACTACTACTACTACTACTACTACTACTACTACTACTACTACTACTACTACTACTACTAATACTACTACTACTACTACTACTACTACTACTACTACTACTACTACTACTACTACTACTACTACTACTACTACTACTACTACTACTACTAATACTACTACTACTACTACTACTACTACTACTACTACTACTACTACTACTACTACTACTACTACTACGACGACTACGACTACGACTGGTCAACAGAAAGACAAGGACGAGGACATATTTCATTAGGTAGATACACAGTTCCATCATCATCATCCTCACCCTCAACCCCACCCTCACCCTCATCCCCATCCACATCCTCATCTTCCTCCTCGTCCTCCTCCTCCTCCTCATGATTCATCATCATCATCATCACCACATAAATGCAGTTTAACCGCATACTCCTTCACGGCCGTGAAACCTAGGTCAAGGCCTTGACAGCAAAACCCTGGAAATCCAACCTCAGCATCAACCTCCCTGAGCCAGCGGCCCAGACCAGAGTTTCGCTTCGTTGCTTCCCGTTTGCTGCGGCTCTTCGCTTGCCTCCAGCCCAAACAAAAGCTTCTTGCAAAGCCCCTCAAGAGTTGCAGGGCAGTTGAACAACGGGTCTGTCGTGCAGTGCAGCATCGAGGTGCAAGCCTTGGGAGCGGACCCTGCAGACCGTCCAGGACAAAATCGTCTCAGACGAGCGCAGGACCGGTGTTGGGGGGAGGGGGGGTGGGGGGCTAGAGCGGGCAACAGGCGCAGAAGAAGGCGCAGAACATGCTGAGAAGGTTCAAAGGCTTGTCGTTGATGATCTTGAGATATTGCGCCCCACTCTTGTGGCCAGGCATACGAGCCACTCTGAGCTGTTGAAGGCCAACAACCAGCGCATCGAAGCAGCAGTAGGATGTAGTAGCATGCCATATTCTGTGCCCGACTCTGACTCCATTCCGTTTTGGTTTTCCATATTTTGCTAAACTCCATTCCGTTTTGAGTGCCAAGAACGGAAACACGATTCAGCCTCTCGTGTGCCGCAGTGTCAGAGTGGCAGCCTTCGGCTCACCAAGGTATGCAAGATCTAATGGCATACATGCACCAGGACCGCCCCCCATTTTTTGCACCCTGCCATGGGACCTCGGACCTAGGAGCGCAGTGGAAGGCTCCAGGCAAGCATGAAGATGCATATTCCTGCGAAGGAAATGCGAGGGCAGTTTCTGTCGAAGGCGCGCAGATGGAGAGTGTGGAGCTTTGAAGGGCTGCAGCTCAACGAACCTTTGAGGTGCCGCTTCTGTCAGACAAAGTTCTGGACGACAAGACACAGTTTCGGCAACCTCCCAAGTTTGGGCAGCCTTTCCAGTTTTGGGGAGTTTCAGAGTGGCAAAAGCTATAGGGAGGAGGCGCTTCTACCTGCAGCAAAATTCTTCGGCTCACAGCATGTTGCCCTAGTGGATGGCCTTTGTCCCAAATGCAACAGAGTCACTTGGCAAATGTCTCTGGGCGGTGGTTCCCTGTTCATGCCTTTTTGTTGCCATGCACGCAAGAGCAGCCCATCGTTTGCAGGCGAGATGATTGCAGATGAGCCGGACAAGCCGAAGCCAGAGAAGACCCTCGTCACCTTCGAGGGCGAAAGCGAAGCAAATCGCATCGTCCAGGAGCGCTTGAGACTCTTGAGAGCTGAGCTGAGCTGCATGCTGAGCTGCGGCCATCCGCGGCCTCTTGCCGGAATGTGCTTCAGGGTTTAGGATCCCCTCACCTTGTGGGGAAGTCTGGAATGGTGACCATTTTGGACCTTTCCCAGCTTACCCATTTCACGTCAACCCTTCACTGAAGGGTCTCACGACCTTTCCGCTGTGGTCTAGATAATAATGGGGCCCCAACCCCACCCCCCTCACAAACTGCGGGTGTTGTTTAGGATGGTTTAGGGTTTGGGGTTTAGGGTTTAGGGTTTCAGGAGATCTGCAACAATGCCAAAGTCCAGGAGAAAGTCCGGGTACAGGTGGAGGCGCATCTGTTCGGGTGATAGCGGCACATCCAGTTCTGCCAGTCTTGTGGAGGCCAAGGCCAAGGCAGCAAGAGCTGAAATCAGAATGGAGAAGCTCACGGCTGCTTGTCCCAGAAAGATGTCATGAGTCCAGCCTGCTGAACTTGGGCTGGCTTCCAAGGCCAAGAGGTATAGATACTCCTCCGGTCCCAAAGACACAGAGTTTTGGGTGAAATGCTGCTTGGTTGCCCTGGTGGAGCTGCCACTGGCGCCACTATCGTAACGATTTCCGAAGCGGAGTTGAAACAGAATCACAACATGCAGATGCTTGCCAGCTATGCCTTGCGAGGTCAGATAAACGAGAACGACCCACCAGACTTTGTCCACGTCCTGCTAACGCAGGCAGGGAGCCAGAAACCGTCCCCAAGCATGCAACCTGTGAAGCCTCTCATGTGAATCACAGGAGTCGCGGGTCAAGGATGTGAAGTTGTTCGAGAGGGTTGCACCTTGGCTTGCAGCAGCCATGTCCAGATCATGTTTTCAACTTTGATGGCCAACCCGAAACCCTAAACCCCAAACAACACCGCCAATGCGCCAATAGACGTCTTGCCGAGGACTCGAAGATCCACGGATAGGATCTGCATCTTGACAATCATTAGTCGATGCCATGGCTTGTGCTTAGCTTTTTTCAAAGAGTGGCATCTCCTTGACTTCTGGACTAGATGGGCACCGCAGGTCACAAGAGTCCTCCTGAGTGTGCATCGTGCCAAAGGCATTGCACATGGCAGTTTCACCAAAGATAATGCCAGTGGCGGCTTCTCCGGCAGTCGGTATTTCCTGGTGCCAGAAGACAGAAGACCAAAGTCGCATACCTTTGTTCAACCGGAGCTGCGAGATCCTGCTCGAAGCCGCGTGCAGTGTCCCGTTCGGTCTAGCTGCAAGAAGTCCTGCGGCCGCAGCCTCGTGACTTCTGCATAGCAAAACGGAGAGGAATTCTCGACTTCTGCGTACGCCAGCGATGCCCAGCTCCCATGCCCAGTGCCTCTGTGGCTTCTGGCCGAGGCTTGTCAGCTGCTTGAAGCCCACCACTTTCGACCGGGGGCAGAACATCATCACCGAGGGTGAGGCGCGTGGAACTACACAGGGGAACTGCCAATGGGAACCCCCCCACCCCACCCCCGCCCCCCCCATGGAACTTTATAATCTTCGGTGTGGGGTGAAACACTTCTGAAAGAGCTTCTGAAGGTGGGCGACAAGCTCTACATCATCGAGCGTGGCCCCCTTGGGCGTGTGTGGCCTGCAAGACACTGCCTAGCATGAGCAGTTACTTGTATGAGTCGTTCTGAGCAGTTATGAGTCGTTCTGAGTCGTTCTGAGTTAGTGAGTATTGCATGGGAGAGCTCTCGAGCCGAGGGGGTGTCTGCGAAGTCCTGAAGAAGCTGAATGACCGTGAGGTGACCATTGGCCAGTTGAGCAAGGCAGAGCGCGTTGCAACCGCGAAGGGGGAAAGAAGAGGCACCCATATACAGCCCTCTCAAGCAATGCGCAAGCAGGGCGCCTTCTTCGGAGAGATTGCGGTCCTGTATGACATGCCTCGAACTGCGACGGTGCGGGGCCAACTCTGTAAGCATTTTTGGTGTGAGACGTTCTGGGGAGTTCGGAGCGAGGTCAAAACTCAAACCGGCGTGATTGCCCTCGCCTTGAGCAGAGCAGACATCCTCCAGCAGTTGAGCAAAGAGGCCCCCTCCCCAGTTTTCTTCAGACAGAGGGTTTATAGAGTTCAGGTTTGGGAGTTCTGGGCAAGTTTATGGGTCGTGAATGGGGCGCCTTCGCGAGGACTTGGAGCGCATGAAGCTCATTGCACGAACACAGGCGGGCTCTCTGTCTGTCTCTGCGTGTGCGTGTGAGATGCGGATGGCGCTCTTCCTGGTGTCGAGAGACCCTGTCTCTTGCAGTCTGTGGAGAGGTCTTCGGCAGTGTGCCTTTGCTCGCAGACCTGGATGCGGAGAAGAAGGCCGTCATAGATGAGATAGATGTACTGCTTGGGACAGAAAGCACTGAGCAGCCCGGAGCAAGTTCAAATTCCCTGGAAAAGGCCAAAGTCGCCCTGGCACTGAAGAGCCAAAAGTAGGGAGCCCGACCCGCTGTGGAGGTGGACTGTGCTTGGAGTCTTAGAGGTCTTAGAGGCTCTGCTCTGAGGTGGCACAAAGGAGCCCTTCTGGCTGGTCAGAACCACATCACGCCAGCCACCGACAGCTACTGAAGCTCATGATATGCATTGTTGCGTGCAGCGGGTGACTCGTCGCTTCCCTCCCCCCAAAAAAGTAACAACGAAGAAACAAGCCTCCAAGTTAGTCTGTCACAGAAATTCGCAAGGTCCCGGATGTACATCATCGAGCAAGGGAACATCCTCATGACCCCTCCGAAGAGGCTGACTTCTCTAAGGTTCCTGCAATCCAGCTCCATCTAGAGTCCATCAACAGTGAGTGCCCTACATACTCTCAGGAACAAATCTGCAGCTGCCGAGCAGGCTTGTTCACAGCAGAGTGTCGGCGTGCTCATCAGTTCACCCATCACGATGCTCGCAGGAACTGCGCCTGGGACCTGGGCAGTACTTTGGGATGCGGGGATTGCCCCGCGCTTACGCTTTCTCCTGTTGCGTTCGCTTTGTGCCTCGTCCTGGTCCCCGTCGTCGTGCCAACTCTGCTCGAGCGCTCGACTGTCAACTGGGACTCCAGACTGACTGCCCAAGGTTTTATTTTGCCTGCAGGTCTACTAGGAGTAGCTAGGACCCTCCCGAGGGAGGCTTTTTGGTAAGCATGCCAAGTCATCCAGACATGAAGGAACTGATGAAGGATGTTGCTGATGTCGGAGAGTTCACCCAAGGTATGCAGACCATGAGAGCGCAGGGTGGAGCTTGACAACCCAGCAGATAGAACATCACAAAAGTTCATGGAATCCAGATGAGCAGGGTACCTTTGGCTTTGTTTGCACCTTCCAACTTACCCAGTCCGATAGAGGTAGCCGACGCGACGCAAATATTTCCCCGAGTATCTTGCCGGCCGGTTTTTTTTTTCAAGCTGCGTGACTGTTGAACCACAACGTCAACCCCTGTGCGGCGGCGCGAGTGGCCTTGAACTGCGCAGCATGTGCAGCTGCAAGGTCAACAATGCGCCATGTCTCTCTCTCTCTCTCTTTTTCTCGCTCTCTCTCTCTCTCTTTTTCGTTTTTCTGCTGAGGCTTTTTGAAGCACCGATGGGCTTCACGGTGACCGCTGACAGTGACGTGGCCTAGCGCTCAGCAGTTCGAAGATTTAGTTGCGGGAAGATTGCCAAATGCCTGCTTGGAGGTCATGACGCTGTCCATCAGCTATCAGGACGGAAGACGCTTGCAACGGCTGACTGCGATATGCCATGGTAGTTCAATGTAGTTCACAGAAGCTGCAGCCAGAGTTCTGGTGCAGGGCTGTGCATGGGCCTTTGCCAGGAGCTGGTAAACACTGCTGGCGAAGAGCTTTCAAGCAGGACGGAGATGGTCGGCCCTTCAGTCTTGTCACAGATGTGGCAGCAGATCTTCGGCTGTTGCTGGTACTCACTCCCCCAAGGCGGCGAGACTGCACAGATCCATCCGAGCCCACTTGGTAAGGCAGTCAGGAACTCGGAGCCCCCAAAATCACACGCCAATGGGCGCCCGACCTCAACAGCTCAAGGATTCCTGCCATCAAGAGATTGGCGGATGAGAACTTCCAGACAGTTTTTCAGCAGGCAGAGGAGGCAGGGCATGCTTGCTGCAGCCGTGCGACGAAGGAACGTATCACAATACCCGTCCTATGACATCGCTTCCGCGTGTAGTGAGACGAGCTGAAGCCAGCCGAAGACCGGAGTGCCTGCTGAAGCCTCTGCGAATAGAAGCCTGCGTAGGGGTACGGCGCTGAGGTAGGGATAAGGATGATGGCAAGTACCCGGAGTATCCACAAAAAGCTGGGGATTCCTTGGCTTTGTTGCGTTCATTCACAAGCATCCAACGGTCGATGCCTTGCAGGTCAGATTCCTCAAGTGGAATGTGATCTTCAGACAGACTTGCTGCCATGTTTGATCTGCACATGCTTTAGAGTATTGCAAAAAACCGCTAAACCTTCCGAAGGTCTCAACATGTCAAGTGACCTCCTTTGGCCATGGCCAGGAACTCCACCTTGAGATATGCCTCCCCCTCGGCTTGCCTTTAAGACATGGAGAGCTACGCATACGCAAGCATGTTGCCTACCTGCCGGCTGTTTTTCGCAGGGCTGCTTGCCGTAGACAAGTAGGCTTTTCTTAAGGATCTTCAGGTAGCTGCTAGTAACTAGTATCTTTTTACTTATGCTCGGCAGGGCTATGTATGGACGAATGTTGGACCTGCTTAACCTCCCCCACCCCCTCAGAACGGTCGAAGCTGGTGTTTCTTACGACGTACGGACGATTTGACTTTGAAGCGGGTCCTGGTCTCCAGCCCCAAACAGTCAGGGCCCAGAATAGCCCGGCCAGGCCCCTAGTACTGCGCGTCCAACATTACAGCTCGCTTGCAGGTTTATGTCCTGGAAAGTGGCAAGCTTGCCGAATACAATGGCCTGCCGGATCAGCTGGTGGAGGGCAGCGGGCAGGTGCCATCCTTGCAAGGGCGACCGCTTTGCTGCTGCGCTGGCGTGTCTAGCGTAGGCAAGTATGGCATGATGTGCATGATGTTGAGAAACAGTCTCTGCAGCGTGTGCTGCTACGGACAGTCAGGTGGTTTTCAAGAAATGGAACGTCATAATGGACAAGTCCAGCCGGCACGCTTGAGAGGGATGTTTTGACCTTCATCGCTAAGACCTCACATGTTTCCATGATATGGCTGGTCGCACCATGGGCTCGGGCTGGGTGATGCGTTGGACATCTTTGGACAGGGATGCGAGCTCGGAGTATGTGGCGTTCTCAGAGTGCATTCTGAGACGGCCTGCCTGGATTTGAGCCTCTTTGACCTGCAAGGTTTACCAGCTCAAGTCTGGCGAGGTGGCGGTCTATGACGGCGACCTCAAGGAAAGGCGTCCTTTTGACTCGAAGGCCGACATCTCCAAGGCATCCGACGCCTGGGATCACTTTGGGGGACTCATGCTGCGCAGGCCAGCACCTCCGAGGCTGTCAACTGCCGTCACCTTAAGCCCTTAGATTCTTAGATCCCTTCATGTCCAGCTGAGGGCTGCCAACGATAACCCATGATAACCCCAAAGCTTCAGGCCCCGAGCACGTGATGCCTGGTGAGTACTTTGGGGCGGAGAAGTGGCCTCAGCACGTAGCAGCGACTTAGTAGCGGCCCATCGTGGGCTTGCCGCAGTGTTTCAGCGTTGTTCTGTGACAAGGTGCCTGTCCAGCAAGAGCGCCATAGCACCATACTCGCTGGTGGCTTCCCGCTCAGTTTTTGGTCGGAAGAAAGCTGTCGGTGGCATGCAGCTTGCAAACCTGTGAGGCCTTGACGGATGTAACGCTCATCCGCTTCCCACCGAGCTCTATATGGCAGAGCTCTCAGCTATCGTCCCTGCCCGTTTAGCGTTCAACGGGCAGTCCGATAACCTAGCTCCACATATATAGCCAAGTTGTGATACTTGCTTGTCCTTTCCCGTGCGTGGTTGATCAGCCAGTGGCCGAAGCCATTCGCTCGTTCTGGCTCAGTTCCCAGTAAATATCGAACGACAGATTGACTCCCCAAGGATACAACAAGTTTGTAGCAGACTCCGTTGGCCCCATGGTCAGGTCCAGGTCCAACCACAAGCATCAGCAGCAACTCCAACACACTCTGCAACGCAGTGTGCAGAGCGAGTCTAAACTTTACGGACCTTGTGTTCGGCAATTTTCCGAAGGGCTTGCAAAGCGCTCGCACTCAGGGCCGTCCAGGAGGAGCAGCGACAATTCCTTTCGAGGCCCGACACGGGGGCGGACTGCACTTGGATCGAAGCGTGTGTCGGTTGAAGGATCCAGCTCTTCTCTGAAGACGTCCTGACTAAGGCTGGCATGTAAAATCAAACGAACAGGAAGTCTCCCTCGCAGCAGTTGAAGATCAAATTTCCCGCGAGGAAGAGCAGTTCATGCTTGTCGGGAAGCTCAAGTTGCTGATCTCAGATGACCTCGGTTCCCCTTGAAGTTCAAGAAGGGAATGTGTTCACGAGGCCCTGGAATTTCCCGGCCGGAAGGTATATCATCCAAGAAGGGGAGGCCAGGGGACCCCTTAAACCCTACTCCAGAAACCCACCCTAAACCCTAAACTTAAACCCTAAACCCTAAACCCTAATCCCTGTGGTCCCTTGGGGTGCCCGGAAAGCTCCTGGTTGCCTCGGCGGGCAGATTGGGGACATGCTCTTCATCATCGAGAGGGGCGTCTGCGATGCCTGCAAGCTCTTGGATGACCGTGAGGCCCAGGGCTCAAGAGCCATTTGCAATGTTTCCAGTGGCTTTAGAATAGGGAGCTTCCCTATAAAGACAAGTTTGCTGCCTTGTGGGGTCCGATATGACGGCAACTGTCCCGGCCTTAATTGTTTGGGGTGGGCGGGGGGGGACTATATGCCCCTTGGGAATTGTTTTTCATTTTTGCAAAAAATATGTTTAAATAAAACCCAAGAGGATATTAAGATTATGATGTTTATTAAGGTTCTAAGGGGAGAGAAGGGGAGGGGGCGCCATACACGTGACAGAGTAAGCAACATTAGCTGGACAGATAGTATCCGAGAAGTCTGCGCCAAGTGATAACGGAATTCAGCTGAGAGAGGCAATGCTGCCAGCAGACATCAGTGTGCATGTGCGCTGCACGTTTTGCCTCTTGCATGTGAAGACATGCCATCTAGCATCAGCCAACATCTTGCAGATGCCATGGCTTTGCAGGCAGCACTAAGTCTGCCATAGTTCGTTCATGACGTCGACTGCAAGAAAGATAGATATATTCAACGACCACCAAAAGGTCGTACTGACCCAGCTGAAGAAGGGTGCCTTCTTCGGAGAGCTTGCAACGATGTTTGCCGCAGCTTCAGTGATTGGATCTGCTTGCGCAAAGACGTTTGTGGGCATGCGCCTGAGCTAGGTGTCCAGTTGCATCCGCCAGGACATGCCAAGAACTGCATCTGTGCGTGCGGCCACACACGTCACAGCCCTTTCCCTCACCCGCGAGGCCGGCTTCCTGTGTGTTGCATATGTTTGGTTGAGGCAATATCATCTCTGCATTGCATCCCAGGACATTTCTAGCCTCATCGGTGAGGACAAGATCGCAAAGATGCTTGGGCCCTTCTGGTTTGCGCTCACTTGCAGTAGCTGAAACAAGTCGACACGATGATCAATGAGCCAAGGCAGATCCTGGCAAAGGCCCAGGCAGGGGGTGCTTCTTGTGCCGATCTGGTCTTCCCAAGAGAACTTTCTCGAAATTCGTGCCCCATTCTTGCGGGGCTTGCGAAAGAGAAGTAACACCTCCTGGTGTCAGGTCACGCTGGCCCTGGTAAGTTTGAAAGCTGAGCTAGACCGCAGGTCTTTGGCAGCATCCCCATCTTGGCCGGTCTCACAGCATCTGCCAAGAACACCATTGCACGAAGGCTGGGCGTCGGTCCTTGTACTCATGACTAGTGTGCATACCAGTAAGTCCGTATTCATGGAACGAAATGGCTTACTACTTTTAAAATGGTTTGTTGCTTTCATAATATGTTTCTTCATCTTGTTACTTCGCCCTTGATTTTTGTTGAGGACCCTTCGGGGCCCCTCGACTGCAGGTTGCAGCGGCGTACCTTCCGAAAGGGTGACGTCATCATTGACCAGGAGGACACAGCAGACAGGCCACAGCCAGCTGAGATGTTGGGTTTGGGGCCGAACTGTAGGGGTTGGGAGTTTGCTGTGCTTGGGATAAGCGAGGGGTCAGAGGCTTTTCATCGTCGAGTCTGGCTCAGTGATGGTTCAGTGTGGTGACGAGGAGAAGGTGCGGAAGTCCTGTGCGTCGTCCTGCGCAGTGCATGACTGAAGATACTCGGTAGATGCGGTAGATCTGAGTCGCCCAGGGGCAGCTGCTGCTGGCAGGAATGTCATTTGGAATGCAGGGAGCCAAAACAAAGCTTAAAGGCTTAAAGCGCACGACTCGGACAACACGCCGGCTGTGTCTCTCCTGTGGCTGCCAAGGGACAGACTGCTGTATGACGAACCGTATGACATCAAGGCCTGGTCGAGTTGCATCTGTCCTGTAATCGCCCCTTTAGTACATACAAGATGTATATATATATATATATATATAAAGATTATATATACACATACATAGAATACAGTAGAAAAAACAACAAATACAAACATTAATGTTAATCCAAATTCAAAATGAGTAAGCAGGTTTGTGTTTTTAACACGGTAAGAAACAGAGAGACCGCCAACAGAAAAGACGATCCAGCTGCAGGTGACCGCCCACTCCGGAGAGGCGCCTCAGCTGCATGGCACCTGCCCAGTCCGTTGTACCGAAGACGAGTTCGTCTTAAGTGATGTTTGGCCCTTAAGGTTTAGGATTTAGGGCTGGGGGTTTTAGGGTTTTAGGGTTTTAGGGTTTTAAGGGTTTTAAGGGTTTAGGGTTTAGGTTTTAGGTTTTAGGGGTTTAGGGCACATTGGGATGCCTGAGAGGTCAAGACGCTCTCCTGCACCGTCCCGGACTGGGCCAGTCTGCTGATCTGCTCAGCTTGAGATATGGGACGTGTGAGGAAGATTGCCCTGAACCATAGTTTGGAAAGGTTCCCCTGAACCCTAAACCCTAAACCCCAAACCCTAAACCCCAAACCCTAAACCCTAAACCCTGAACCGTAAACCCTAAACTTCCTTCAACGTTCCTGCGTAAACTCTCCCGCGAGGACATCTTGGCTTCGGCAGGCACTGGGGAGCAAGAAGCACTGGAGAGGTGCGATCCGGGGTTCTCAGGGCCTTCTTTGAGCCCTCTTGGAGGGTTTAGGGTTCCGCGTCTAGAGTTGATCAGATTTATGGATTATATAGGGTTTATATAGGTTTGATATATACTGTTTATATAGGGATATGTGGACGGTTTGTCTCTTTTGTTGCATTCTGTTTCTCTAATAATGCTTGTTCTTTAGCGCATGCCATGCGCCCTTCAGGTCTTTTCTGATGGGCTCTCAACTAAACAAGGGTACGAGAATCATGATGAACATATCCGCGGCTGCCCAAAGCAGGTTTTCAGGTTTTCTCTTGATATCGAGTTCTGCAAGGAACAGCAAGAGTGACCCTTTGTTCTCTCTACAGCACTGCGTTGACCTTGGGAGTCCCAAGAAAGGCCCCTTGAGCATCGAGGATCTCTGAGAAAGGGTCGTGGTTGGGGAAGGTCTTGCCACTGAGTACAGTAGCAGATCCCAGGAAGTTTTCCTCACAGTGCAGTTCTTGTCTCAGTGCCAGAATGAAGCATGGTGCTTAGGCCCCTGCAACTTTCTTTCGGCCAGGCAGATGAAGAGGGCCTTCCACACGTGGCTGCTGAAGAGTGCTTCAGTCCTGGTGAGTTCAGTGTCAGCTGCGACGAGCAGTAACATCGAACAATATCTTTGTGCGAACGCCTCTGGTCCCCCTCTGCATGAACATGTTGCACTTAGGTCTGTCTTCCTGGTGAGGCCTGAGTTGCAATGAGTTGCACACCAGCAAGCAGAAGTCTCGCAACGCGCAGTCTGATGCTCGCCTGGCCACTGCCCTGGGGCATTGTGACGTCCTAGAGTTTGAGGCAGGTGCCAGAGCCTCAGTTGGCCTCATTCTTCTTTCAATGCACATACAGATCACGGTGCTACGTTGGAAGCCCCCGCGAAGCCATCGCGGAAGCCCAAGGCCACAGTCTTCCGGGAGCAGGAAGAGCTGAATGCCGCCGGGAGCCCTCATCACCAAGAATCGACGAAGAGCTGCTTCAGCAGATCTCAGCAGCAAGGGCATAGGCTTGAAGTATTCTTCGCGCTCTCAGGCCTACATCGTCATCCACGGTGTTTTCGAGTCGCGGTCGCCACAGCTTCTTCTGTAGCATGATCAGGCTCACGTCTTGATATGCCCCGCTCCGCATCCAGGAAGGGCCTGAAGATCCAAAACCGTGCAGAAGGCAGGACTTTGTCAGAGAGGGTTCATGTAGCAATATGTAGCAATGTAGTGACGGTGCCATCTGCCTGTTGTGGGTTGACTTCTCCCAGTCCGTGGCAACTTGGTGAGCGCTTCCCCCATCGCCTTTGTGCGCGACTCCGAGATGGAATGGGTGCAGCAGCCGACTCCAGCAAGAACCTCAGCATGCTGCGCTGTGGCGCTGTCAGGGCAGCAGATGTCAGCAGATTCCCGCGACGCAGGTTCCGGCTTCGCACGCCCTGCACGTCCGGCTTTCCTGTTTGAATCTGCTTGAAGCTGGCGCTGTCTGAGCGCGAGTTGCGTGGCATCTGCTGTCTTCCATGCGCCAGCGCTTCGGCTTTAGCCGTTTTTAGAAATGATCGAAGCTGTCGGAGACACTGCCCTTGCTGCTCCATGGAGGCAGAGACCCACGGCGCGCTGCTGAAGGCGCTCTGCTTGGCCAAGCAAAGAGATCTTTGACGCAGGGTGGGTGCATTCAGTAGGCTGTGTACTTGGAGGTTCATGGTACTTACTAACCAAATATAACTGTACTTGTAACCCACTTGTGAGCCCCTGAAGTGCCCTAAGTACCATGAACCTCCAAGTAGTGTGCGCAAGACTGGCTTGCCTCCACTTGTTGACAAAGGTCCCTCTTTTCGTGGTCCGGCCTGCCTGAGGCTGTCACAGTGATCCTGCGGTTGTTGTGCTTCAAGAATGGTCGTAGTAGTGACAAGTCGCTAGTCGTCAGAGCCGACGCTTCAGGTTTCACCCACATGTTCCAAGGAGCAGGTTTGCAATTGCAAACAGAAGCATCCTGGCACTTTCCGAGTGCTGCAAAGACATGTGAGAAGTTGTGAGAAGATTTAAGACGTTGTGTGTATACCACCAGTACATGATGGAATCTGCATAGTCCGCACATCAAACCAAGCCTCTAGACCCCTCTCTTGTTTTGTCTTGTTGCAGCCTTTGTCCTCTGCTCAAACCGTGAGCACCGACGAGGCCCGGCAGGCAAAAAGGGATGACATGGTTCGGGTGTGGGACATCTTCATCCTTGTCACTTGAGCACTTGCACAGCAATTTACTGGAGCCCATAAGCAAGCCGCGAAAGGCCCCCTGGCTTAGGTCTTCTCGAGCCTCCAGCACCTTTGGGCAGTGGCTGATGTGTTGTAAACAAGCACCTGAAGATGGCGATCATGAGGCCCATAGCGCTCCCATCATGCATGGTGCACAATGGTGACGGGCAGTCTTGCTGGAAAGCTTCTGGGCGACGCACGTCGACGGCCGAGCCAAAGCCACGCTGCAACCAGGCAAAAACAAATAAACAAGGGGGCTATGTCGGCTGACGACTCCCGAGCGAGGCCAAACGTGGACAATGCAGCCGGAAGCAGTCTCGCCCTGTAGGGCCCCAGCGTTGCCCACCTGGCGGCGGACAAGCCGCTGTCCCCGCATCGTTGCTTTGGGGGTGTTTGGGTTGCGGCTTCAGACCGGCCGGGGACGCCTTTTTTGGATCCAAGTAGGATGCTGGATTTATCAACTCTGCCCTTGCCCAGCAACGTGCTCCCCCCTTAAGTGCTTCCGACCTCAGGGCGCCTGGCTCCTGCTCCTGTTCTGCGCCCATCCTGACGTCGAAAAAGCCTTGCGTATGTCAAGGGGAGCACAGAACGTCACAGACCGTTGTGGCATCTCACCGGGCAGGGCATGAAGCATGTCAAGTAGGCATAGACTTGCAAATCAGGTCCAAAACAAAGTCCTGCTTGGGCTCATCAAAGAACAGATCAACATCTGGTTGAAACCCATTCAGAACAAGTCGTTCCGATGGGCAAAACAGTGACGAGAACTGTCATGATTGGCAGCAACTGCACTCTTAACTGAGGCAGCGGAACAAGAGTTCCGTGCTTGGAGCTGGATCAGATGTCACAAAGCCTTCGGCACAAGTGATGAAAGAAGCGTATGGCAGCCCGCCACCTAGGCAGATCAACGCAAAATGCTTCATACAAAATGCTGTACACTCCTGGAGCTATATCTGTAGAGTGCAAGCACATTGGCGGCATGGAATAACGCGCAGCAACAGCGGCCGTACAATCACGACGCCAACACACGCTGAACAGAGCAAGCATTTGCCAAAAAAGGCATTGCACGGGCAGCGGCGGCTGGATCCAGTGACGATGGCAGCAGCCAGTGCGGCAACCGAATTAACTAGACTCTCCATCCATAGGCCTGCGCGCATTCGCCTGATGTGGCACTTGATGAAGGGTTTGCGCTACTTGATGTCTGGCCGGGTGAATGCTGCCAACAACGGGCGGAGCAACCGCAGAAGAACACAAAGGCGCAGAACTCGCCGTAACTGCAACCGGAGCTGCAGGCGTACACAATGCCTCAAGCGGACAAGGCTTGATACAAAAGGGTGTTCCAGTAAGGTTCGCATGGCATAAACTATGGCAGCACCCATTCACAGCTCCGGGAGCATCGGGATCTCCCGGACCGACCAGCTCAAGTGCAGGAGGAGACGGAGATGGAGTGGCCGTGTCCAAGAACGGCGACGCCACAGTATCCTGTGATGCGTCCTCCGAACGGGCATTCACAACAGGGGACGCGCGCGTGCCATGTGGGCCCGGTGTGTCTTCAAGGGAATGTTGCTGCAGAGCATCCATGTCGCAGTGATTCCCCGAGTGACCTGTTCATCCCCATGAATGTAAAGAGTTCTCGGCGCAACGTGGTGCAGGACTCCGCAAACACGGGGGCCGCGGCACACCCCAAGACGTCGGGCCTGTCTGGTCCCCCTATTTGCGTCAGTTCTTGCGTGTCCATAATTTCACGAATCTTTCGGACAAAGTCATTTTATGACAAGCAAAGGAAACGAGTGAAGCGAAGGAGCTGCGGTGGAGCTACCAACGCATCGCAAGCAAACCCACACATTGCGACGGATGTTTTGTGACGCACAACGAGTGCATCACCTGCACATGTCGACGATGCTTGCTCCAGTGAATCAGGTGTTGGGCGAGGTGGTGAGGGTAGTCGTGTAGCTCGCGACCGGACAGCCACCTGGCAGGCTTTCACGCAAGCGCTCAGCGAGCTCCGCGCCGCCGCATCTTGCAGCCAGCCGGCCGTGCTCGTGCCACGCCAGAGTGCGTGCCACGCATGCTGCTGACGCGGGCGGCGCCACAGTTCTCCGAATTGCTTGGCCGCGCTGCCGCATTCCACAGCCTAGGTCCCGGCAGCGCCCCTCGGCCCACAAACCGGAGCTTCCGCCTGACGAGGTTTCCGAGCATAAGCGACACCAGGCGTGCGCAAAAGTCCGCCAAGGCGAGCTTTCCCGGGCTCGCAGGTGCTGACTGCGGCGGAAGCCCCGTGATGCAGGCCCGGAAGACTGGCCGCATGGCTGGCAGTTCCACGCGACGTGGACTCGAAACCTCTACTATGGCGATCGCGTGCTGCTGCCGGCTTTGCTGCCAGCATCCCAAGCCTGCTACGCTCGCAAGGCGGGCCGCGCGCAGGTGCCTGGCTCTCGGCACGAAGCTGCAGCACTTACTCTCGCCCCGCAAGCCATGCAGCTCGCATTGGGGCGCCGTTTGCGTTTGCCCCTGCCGCTTCGCCCCAACCGCTGCGGCCCACGCCCGGGTTGCGGCCAACAGGTCGACGAGTATGGGGACCACGCCTTGGCCTGCCCCCGCACGGGGTTGTTGGCACGACGCGCGAAAACCGTCGAGCGAGCCTGGGTTCGCGTAGCCCCCGAGGCGGTCGGTTCCGAGGGGCAAGTCATCCCCCAACAGTGGCTGGTGCACACTAGTGCGCCGGGAGTGCCGGCTAATGACCGCAGACGGCTCGACCTAGTCGTCTATGGCGCCACGCCGCGAGGAGGCGCGTTGTGCTGCATGCGAGCTGGCCAACTCCTGCGCGTCCGGTCGCAGAGAGCGCCGCCCGCTCTTCGCCGCGCGGCCGCTGGGGCTGCTCCCGATGTTGGTGGGGCATATATTACGGGTGCTGGCCGTCGCCAGCATGGCTCTGGAGCAGGCCTGGCGCTCACGGGCCCCGCGAGCCCAAGTCGCCTGCCGCTGCGCCCGTAGCCGTGCAGGCGATGTGCGTGCTGGCTGCAGGCGATCTGTAGGGCTGAGACGGCGCTGGACTTGGGAAAAAGGTGCGCGGAGCGCGGCATGGTTGACGAACGAGCATCTTCGTTTCATGTTAAACGAACCTGGCGACCTCACCTTGCTCCACGCTATGGTTCGCCAATGCTGGCGCCCGTGCTGGCAGCATCTGGCAGCCGTGCGTATTGGTCGACTGTGGAAGCCGAATGGCCGTGTGCGTGACCTAGTCCTCGGAGATGTGTTTCGCCGCCTTGTCGCCCACACCTTGGCCCAACACTTCGCCGACGCGCTCCAGGCTGCACCACGGAGTGCCACCCCTGCACCAGCTGTGTTGTTGGATCCTGTCGGTCGACGCTGTTGGTGCGTTCGACCATGTTTCAGGCCGTGCTCGAGGGGTTACGATCCCGGCCTCGGCTTTGTTTGCTCGCCAGTTTTACGGCAGCGAAAGCAGTTCCGTCTGGACTGACGACGCACGGACCGAGCACGTGGGAAAGCTAGGTGACCCCCTCATGCCTCCGCACGACGCAGTAGCCCAGCACGACGCCCTCCACCATTTCGCGTCAGCGCTGGAGCCAAGCGAGTGTTTTTTTTTTTCGATGATACTTACATCGTCAGCGCCCCTGATCGCATTTCTACCCTGTATGGCGCGCTCAGCGATGCGCTCTGGGACCACTGGGCGCAACCCAGACCAAGGCAAGATCCGTGTTCGGAACGCAGCAGTGGAGGAACCGCCAAACATCGCCGCGTTCCAGCCAGACCCGAGCTCTGCTGCGGACATTGGGGTTGGCGGACCGAATGCTGCTGCGGAGGAAGCAGGTCCGGGACAACAACAGAACTGCATACAGAGGCTCAAAACAATGCAGAGCACACACAGCGTGTTTTGCTAGGAGCTGCTACTCGTAGCACGTTCATCTTCGTCTTGTGTTGTTGAGCAGCACATGGAACACACTATTGTCACTCCCTCCCCCCCCCACCCCCACACCACGCTGTTGTTGGGGACGCAGAAAACGCTAGCATCAAGCCCCCCTCCCCCACCCTCCTGGAGCGACAAAGGTTCTTTCTCTCGATGGCCACCGACAGGGAGCGCCGCGAAGACCTTCTGGTCGTGTGCTCCAAGTGCTCTACCGAGGCCCTCATCACGTGTTCTCAACATAAGGACAATAAAAGCGAGCATCTCTGGAAGGCGTTGCAGCACTCGTGCTTGTCTGGCAGTGACCTCGTTCACACCGACGATAAAGCTCACATCATCCGCGACTTCACAGCCCACCGCGCCCCGTCGTGGACAGGACTTGTGTTGCGGCGGTACGAGAGCTTGACGAGCGTTTGCGAGCAAAGCTGCAGTGAAAAGAAAGAGCGCCGTAGCCATTTTGGCTCAAGCCATTTTGGCTCAAGCACATGCGTCTTAAATCTCACAGGCGGCGCCACCGTAGAGCCACTTCACGCGGGTCAGGTTGTCCTTGGGCGCCTGTGTGCGCAGCTGGGAGACCTGCTGGCCGCCCCTGGGCGTGTTGACGCGCAGCTGGGGGGCCTCGTAGTCGCTCCAAGCCATAGTGCCAAGCATCCGGTTCCTTCCTTGGGACAGTCTGGCCCTGCCTTCGCGGCATCCAGTCCCCCTTGGTGGAGACAGCCCGGCTCTGCTTTTCGCGCCCTCCCTGTGCAGGTCCTGCGCCTCCCATCAGCGGTTGAGGCTGCCCTGGTCCTAGTTGCTGTCCATCGTCTACGCGCTTTCGCACCAAACCTAGTTTGGGCAAACTACAATAAGCATTGACCCCCCGGCGCCATCCGGGCTACCATCTGGCACTGCCCTAAGGCTCTGGGTGTAAGTCCGCCTTTCCCTCCGCAATGCACACCCCATGACACCGGAGTCCCTTTCCGATTGCACGCCGCCTGAAAGCAGCCTTGCCCCACTTTGTGGCCAGGCTCCTGGGGCCAGGGGCCCCCTTCCCCCCCTGCTTGCCCCGCCGTGGATGCATGCCCTGTGTGCTTGTGCGACCTACCGCCTGATTCTCGCGGACCGGAGGCGCTGTTTCGATGGCCGCGTTGCCAGCACGCATTACACCTGGGTTGCGCGGCGCACCTCGTTGCCAATGTCGTTGAGTTGCGCTGTCCCGCCTGCCGAGCTGAGTGGCCGCCTGACGCCGCTGCAGCGTTCACGGGTGCTTGTCAGCGGGAAGGGGTGGCACCACCTCCGCCTGCCCCTGTCCGGGACACAGCCAGCACGCAACACCGCCAGGCCACCGCCCCAGGACCTCCGCCCCACGTGCTGCCATTTTGCTGTCCCCCGCATTTACCTTGCTGACCCTGTGCACGCGTCATCCGACGACGCGTGGGAAGAGCTCCCCGACCGCCACATGCACTGGGCTCCGGTTTATCGGCGCGAGGCCAATGCCTGGGTTCCGGAGTGGGTGTGCTTGCGCTGCAATGCCACGATCGATGAAACCCACCCCATGCTCAACCAACTCCCTCAGCAACCTGTGTGCGCCACACACGGCCCAAGGCGGCTCGCCATCGACCTCCGCGAGGGAACACGTGGGTGGGTGTGCGGCCACAGATTCTGGACTGCCCCCGTGAACGTCTGGCGGCCCCCGCGCCTGATTGCCCTGCGGACGGCGTTGCGCAAGCGCGGCAAACACGTGCAGCCTCGTGGTACACGCAAGGCCCCCCGGATGCATCAGCTCCACGAGGCCCGACGCATAGCTGGCTTTTTGTCCAACTTCTGCATGCTCCGAGAGGGCGTGGGAGACCCATCCACACTATGGGGCAAGCTGGGCCCAGGCAGCCCACGCCCTCCGCACCGCCCCCCCAGTCTCCCCGCAAGAACTTGTGCATGCACTTAATGTGCTGCAACAGCTTGCCTCAAGTCAAGGCAGGCCAGTGCACTTGCCGGAGGCTCAGTTGCTCAGACACGTTGAGGTGACGCCAGCAGTGTGACATCATCAAGGTACGCGAAGACGCGCTCTCCGAGGTCCTCCCGGAGGTCGCGCTGCAGGTCCCGGAGAGCAGGCTGCAAACCAAAACTGCAGACCGGCTGCTCCATGCCTTGCAGGGCCATGTGCCCTTGCCCGCGGCGGCCGCTGCGAATCAGGCACGCGATGCCTTTCGCGCCATCGGCTACGACGCGCCGGCGTGGGCTTCCCTGCTTGACGCCTCGGACGCGCCGCCAGCGCGCGGCTGCGCTTTCGAGCCAGGTGATGCCCTGCGGGGATGGCAGCGCCAAGCTGCCGGAGCGTGCGACGAGCGCGCGTGCGAGACGCATCTTTCTGACCTCACCCTTGCGTCCCGTGCGCTGCTGCTGTCGCAGGCTGGGCCACACTCTGCCCGAGCCATCACCGTCGCGCCCACGCACGAGGCCGTGTCCATTCCGAATGCGCAGTTCCGCATTCTGCTCCTGCGGCGCCTGCGCCTGCCCCTGCCACTCGCCCCCCGCACGTGCAGCTGTCGTGGCAGGCTCGACACTTTCGGGGACCACCGTGCCGCGTGCGCTACCAGCGGCGTGCTCGCCGCGCGTGCAGGGCCACTTGAGCGCGCCGTTGCGCGGGTTTGCCGCGAAGCCGGTGCGCGTGTCGCTCGCAACGTCCGCGTTGCCGACATGAACATCGACGTGCCCGTCGCAGATGACAGGCGCATCGAAGTCGTGGCCAACGGCTTGTCCCTTTGGCACGGCTCGCAGCTCGCGGTTGACGCCACGCTCGTCTCCCCGCTCACACGTACGGGCGAGCCCCACCCGCGGGCTGACGTTGAGCCGGGGCGCTCTGTCACCGCAGCAGCGCGGCGCAAGCGACATGGCACGTACCCCGAGCTCCTCCGTGCCCGGCGGTGCCGCCTGGTCGTCATTGCCCTGGAAGTGGGTGGGCGCTTTGGCACGGAAGCAGCCACCTTCCTGCGCCTCCTGGCCCGCCACCGAGCTGCCACCATCCCAGCGCACCTCCGACCGGCGGCTCAGACCGCCTGGGTGGCGCGATGGGCGGCGCTCCTGGCCGTTGCGGCCCAGCGCGCGTTCGCATCTTCCTTGCTCGAGCTGCCCCTTGCAGGTGAGAGCAACGGCGATGATGCCGCGCCTGAGCTGCACGAGGTCCTGGCCGATGGTCGCTGGGATCGCCCCCCGCCCGCCAGCCGCGTGCCGCCGCGGCGGTGAGGCCCCTCCCTCCCGACCCGACCCCCGCTATGACAGGCTGCGGAAAAAGGCGCGCGAAAAAAAAAAAAAAAAAAAACCAAAACAGAACATGGCGGCATAGGCCCCGACCGGACTTCTGCGGATGGAAAAGAAGCGAGCACCAACAAAAGAATGTATT